GCTCTAGAGACAGTCTATTGGCACTATCCTCTCAACTCTGTGCCTCAGTTCCCCTCAAGAAGCAGATGGAAACTTCCAGAGTTCTCCAAATGTCACTCACATGGAAATGTGTAAGATTTCACTGGCTCTCCCTCTGCATAAGTATGTCACTAAACAGTCCACCCCTCAACTATGGTTCAAAATTTAAGTAGACTCATATTTCAGGATTTGTTAAGATAATCTCTAGTTTATGGGGAAAACATGCCAATTTAGAGCTGTATTACCTCAAGTTTTGATCACTTATATTCCTAGCACACAAAATAGTTCTAGCATATAGCAGATCCTCAAAAAGTATCTGATGAGTCAAAGGATGAATAGATCATGACTGTACAATTAGCCAATAATGGCAGCAAAAAGGAGATCTAGAGACACTGACTGATTCTTGAGAAATCTGTGGATATAGAAGGTAAAGCCAACAGTATCCCTGGACTTTGTATTTAACACTCATGAATTTGAGTTGGGTTTCTGTCACTTGGAACCAAGCAACTAATAAAATAGCATAACCCTAACATAACTTACACCAATAAATTTCAAAATTTAGATTAAAGTCATGATTTGTAAGGAAAATATAATTTACCAATACTGGCTTGTGAAGAGACAGAGAAACGAATTAGTTCAGTAACCTAGAAAAAATTAAATGGCAAAAGCCTCAACACAGACTGTGGAAGGGGCACCTGGGTGGCTCAGTCGGTTAAGCGTCCCACTTCAGCTCAGGTCATGATCTCACAGTTCCTGAGTTTGAGCCCCACATCAGGCTCTGTGCTGACAGGGCAGAGCCTGGGTCCTGCTTTGGATTCTCCATTTCTCTCTGCCCATCCACTGCTCAGGTCTGTCTCTCAAACATAAACATTAAAAAAAAAAAAAAAAAAAAAAGACTTTGTATAAGACTTTTCCCCTTTGATTAAGCAAGTTAAAAAAAAAAAAAAAAATCAAGGATGGGGCACCTGGCTGGCTCAGTCAGTACAATATGCAGCTCTTGATCACGGGGTTATGAGTTTAAGCCCCATGATGTGTGTAGAGATTACTTAAAAAAAAAAAAAAATCAAGGATAATGCATTGAAACAGAAAAATACACAAGTTTCATCTTACTTATAAACAGTTCTATTATCCTAAGAATGAAAAATGACTTATTAAAAATCTTTGAATAAAATTCACTAACACCAATTAAAGCTACTGGTCTTCCAATATATGTAGAAAAATTACTTATTAAATTTTATACTTACTAGTTTAAATTTTTTTAAGTAGAAAATTAATAATAAAATAGAATTTAACAAAGGATATCTACTAGAAATTCAGAGCACAGATTATCCTTAAAGGTGAAACATTAAAAGCTTTTTCACTAAAGTCAATAGCAAGGCCATTATTTTACACACTCTAGAACCCAATATTCTGTGCCAGACCCTAGCTAAAGCAATCTTAAGAACAATTAAATAAAATATGAATATTTATAGGAAATAGTCTCATCAATTGGAAAAGATGGGATTCTTCTGGATTTTCTAAGAATGTTGACAAACATTTAAAGGAGTTCTGCAGCACCATAATAAATTAGTATATAAAAACCAAATTGCTTTTACCATGACAACAATGACCAATTATAAAGTATATTAGAAAAAAGGTCTATTTCACTACAGCAACAAAAATTAAACACCCAGAAATAAATCTGCCAAAAATGCATGTAAAGAAGTCTTACTAAACCAAATCCACTGGGGCACCTGGGTGGCTCAGTCAGTTGAGCATCTGACTTCGGCTCAGGTCATGATCTCATGGTTCGTGGGTTTGAGCCCCGCATCGGGCTCTGTGCTGACAGCTAGCTCAGAGCCTGGAGACTGTTTCAGATTCTGTAACTCATGCTGTCTCTCTCTCTCTCTCAGAAATAAATAAAACATTAAAAAAAACTTTTTAAACCAAGTCCACAAAAGATCTAGTTTAATGAAGACATATATTGTTCTTGAAGAAAAATACTATTGTAAATCTCTCTAAATCCTATTAATTTAGCACAAAAACATAACTTCAAGATACGCTCACCAACAGTCAAGACATATTTGGAGAAAACATTAGGAAGGTGTTAACCACTCCAAAACTTAAAAAATACCAGGAAACTATAATTAACAATTATATTATTTATCAAATATCTCAATTAAAGAATTTAGCACATAATAAAATAGTATTTCCAGTAGTGAGGAAAGAGTGAAATACAATAAATGGTTTTTGAAGTTTTGAATAAAAGTAGCTCTATACCTCACTCTTCACAAAAATCAGTTCTCAATGAAGAACTGGCAGGATGCATACATGATAAATTTCTTAGAATATACAGAATATGTTTTATATTTTGAAATAAGTAATAAAAATTTATCAACTTGTATATATAAATATAAAACATCTATTTTAAAAAGTTACCATAAGTAAAGTTAAACACAAGTGACCAATGAGGAATAAACACTGGTAACAGACATAAAAGACTAACATCTACATGATATGAAAAACAAACCCATGACATAAAGACAAATCATTCAAGAGAAAAATGAGCCATGAAGGGAAAAGGGAATTCACACAAGAAATATAAAAATGGCCTAAAATAAACAGGTAGAGATGCCCATCCTTAGTAGTGTCAGAGTTTTTAAATTAAAATAATAAAAATAACAAGTTTTTACTCATTAAATAAAGAATCAAAAAATCTAGTATCAAATGCTCTAGGAAATGGATACTCATTCATTGCTGTGAAGAAACTGCAAACTGGTAACAGCCATTTTGGAAGCCAGTTCAAGTTTCTCTTGAAATATCTCTTTAAAACTGCCTAACTTTGGTCCAACAATGCAAAGCCTAAGCATATACTACAGAGAAATCCTTTTATGCACACAGAGTGATACAGAATGATATTCCTTTAGCAATGTTTTGTAATCAGAGAGAAAACAAAATAAAAAAACTCCCTTACATGTCCATTTTAGGCCAAATAGATTGTGTAATAATCTTTTTAACAAAAGAAATTAGGTGTGATTATACTGAAATAAGCCAAGTAGAAAAGTTGTAAAATGATATGCATATATTTATGTAAAAATTGAAACTAGGCACTTTATTTCCTCTACTTATAGACAAGGTGTATATACATTCATGGAAAAAGGTCTAAGTAGAAAGTTAACAATTGGTACTTCTAAGAAGGGTAGGAGGACTGAAGGTGATTGCCAAAAACAGACTTATCTCTGATGTTTCTTACAAGTCAAAAGTAGTCATATACTACATTTGTAATATCAAATGTAAAGAAAAGCAGGATGCACAAACTGATACATTTTAAGAAAAAAATATACACACAAATTTATTCTTTGTATTTCTTTCTAACTTTCCTACTTGATGTGAACATATAGGGAAGGTTTTGGAAGACACCTGCCAAAATGATGCTATTACTATCTAAAGATACCGCCAATAGAAATGATACACTCAACTCCTATATTCTCATTTGAAAGATGGAAGAAAGTTCAGTTCAAGATTTATAAAAGCAATACAGTATCAACTTAAGCACTTATTGTTTTGTTTAGTTACTTCCAACATTCACATGGCACATGATTATATATTGAAATTTTGCTTTATCTTTAGAATATAGTAATTGGGAAATGGTAAATAGTTTTTAGACTTAAGTCATTAGTTTATAAATGCTTTGATATTTAAAGTGATCACTGACTAACTTCTTGTGAGGAATGTTCCTTCTCGAGATTATTCTGTAAAACCTTTTCTAATGAGAATAATATTGACATTCAAATACAACCAGCTGTATTTTATGAATACTACTACTTTTCAATGTATAGACTAAAAATTGTTTTTAGAAGCCTGTGCTTTTAGGAATTGCTTTATTATTTTTAAGTAGATTAAATTTTACAAATATTACATTATCAATATGCCTTCCGATTCTTAAATAAATCGCCTGTAGTAAATATAGTTTTTCATACCTCTACAAGGGCAAAGAGAACACCAAAGCAGTCCTATCACATTGTATCTCGAAGACTGACCATGTAAGTGGCAACTGTCCTCTGTTTTTTTCTGCTATTTGGGAAAGTATTTGCATTTATGATAGTCAGCATAACCGCACTATAAAGTCCTCTATCAACTTCTCATATTGATGGGTCTTTAGTTAATGGATACAAAGACTGAAAAGTTCATTCACTCATTTGTGACCTTAGCTTCACCCCTGAAAGACTTTTTTTTTGGTAGTAGGGGAAGGGGACACAAACAGGAGGCAAAAGCAGCTTCCATGATGACCTCCAGGTAGAGAAATTGCTTCTTGTCAATTCACGTTTCACTGAAGTCTTAAATCATGAAAAGAAAACAATGACGAAGGAAACTTCCAGAGCTATCTGGTTTTGAAATGGTTATGAGAGACAAGTATATAGTCAGTAGTTTCTTCCCAAATAAAAAGGTCATCAGTAAGGATAAACACTTTTGAAGGGTATCTTCAATGGAATCCAGAATTTCCCTCCCTTTTCTTAGGTATCTAATTCAACAGTCTCCTATAGCAATTTGTCTTGTGAAAGTGCCTCTCACTTCCTTATAAAAGAACAAGTTCCTTTAGAAAGGTTCTAATGGAGAGGGCACTGGGCAGCATTAGAAAACGTGGATCCGTCACTGAGACCCCAGGATGAGCTCAGCAGCTTCCTCTTCTGCATTACAAGAGGGCTGCACTAATGTCCAAGTCAATGATCTGAACTCTAAGAGTCAATGATCCATGTTTCCATAAAGGCCATCAAGGAAGGGAACACACCTTTTTACCTCAAATTATGAAGGTACTTTTATACTATATTATATATCAGTTTTATTTTCAATTAAGCAACATTTTACATGAAATACCTAGCATCTCTTATATTACAGATACTTAAAAAATAGGAGCTGGTGATAACAATTCAAAAAAGTCATATACAAGGTAAGTGATGTGAAGAGACTCAGAAAATAAGTCATTTGAGTAGACTCTACAAGTCTTTAAAACAAGTAACAGGTAAAATTTTATTTCAATATTTAGTATTTAAGGTGAAGAATGACTAAGTAGCACTGGTATTTCTTTTCATACGGAAAGTAAGATGAGTTAAAAGGAACCCATTTCATATAAAAGTCTTTGACTTATTTAGTAATTTAAATTTGCTTTTATAACAAAGCACTTTTTATGTAATTTAAAATACATATGCTTTGATTGAAGAGTGACTGTAAATGGATCCAGTTTTCCTCCACTTGTGATGACAACTTTGTCAATTCTTCTAGAAGTACTGGTTCTGAAGGAAGCAATTTAAGATGTAACTGAAAGAAAAATATTGTAACATTTAAGAAAATTAAAATTTTGTTTATTCTAGACTTAACCTTCTTACCAAGGAACAGTAGAAGATACTATTCTGTTTTCCTTAGATGCTGGTTTATTACCAATTCCCATTTCCCTCTCTTGTATTGAACATTTATTATGAGTTCCTGAATGGTACTCTCTCCCTAAGTAGAACTGAAGCTGTCATGACTCTCCTGCACCTAAGGAAAGTCCTGATACAGATGCAGAAACAAGGTCCTAGTTCTAACACTAGCTCCATATTTCTGTGCTTCTTTAAGGTTTCTCTTTTCAATGGAACCTACTGGTAATGAATGATTGATGGCCCTCTGCTTTATCTTCTAAACATTTATGTAAATTAATATTCAAAAACTATAACTGGTAATTTTGGGAAAGGATATAGAAAAAATTAGTGGTGTTCTATTTTTTTCACCCTATGTTCTACCATCTAAATATCTACTTTTAATTTTACATAATTAGATCAAGTGAAAACTCATTTCAGATATAAATAGGACAGATGAAGTATCATATCTGTGAACACTACGAGTCAGCATCATCTACTTCCTTCACTACAATATGCTACTGCAATAAAAAGGAGTTCTCCATGATGTTAGTCACAGAAACAACTGTTCTTGCCAAATCACTTGAAACTCCTTCCACCAGGATAGAAGTATTTTGATTTCAGCAGCAGAAAAATCAAAAACAAACAAAAAAAATCAACACAAAACCTAACTTTCTCTTCATGATCATAGAAAAACCTCCAAAATGTGATGACTTGAAAAAGTTAACATTTCAATATATTGAATCAAATGGATGACACAGAAAAGTTAGGGGGATGAGTCAAAATTGTGCTAAGTAAAAAAAAAAAAAAAAAAAAAAAAACCTACAAAGCTGTGCTGTCCAGCTGTCCAATAGTACAGTGGTACAGACAGCTATTTAAACTTAAATTAATTAAATCTCTATAAAATAAGAAATCCAGTTTCTCAGTCACATTAGCCACATTTCAAGTGCTCAATCGCCAAATGCTCCAAGTGGCTGCCATGCTGGACGGTGAAGATATAAAGCACTGCCATCTTTGTAGAAAATTCTATCAGACAATACCACCCTAGAGGAAGACAAGCTGAGTACTGTCTTACATTAGACTTACCTTTAGAAACAAGGCAAGATATGCCTGGGCTAACTCAAAGTCACGCTTCCTGTCCAACATCATCCCGATCATTTTTAAGAAGCTCTGCATCACTTCTATAGACCCACCACAGTCAGGAGACAAGCTGCGCAGCTCTGTTTCAATTCCTGATGGGCCTAATTCTTTCAGAAGGTTAAGAGCAGCTTCATCTGCATTAAGTTTTAAAAAGAATCCAGTTACTACTTACAATGACTTTCACTTAGGAAACTATAGTTTCATTTCATACCTATGCTACATGTATTTAAATTGCACAGGAAATCCTTCCTGTGGCTTTATTTTTTCCTGTTAAATAGTAGAATGAACCCCAAATTAAGTAATAATTAGTATAAATGATGAGAGCGATCAACTTAGTACAATAAAAAGTACTAAAAACACTAAAATTTTTGCATTCTTAGTGTTTGTTTTTCCCAGCTGTTCAAGCTGTTTAGGAAAATCTAATTAACGCCTAGCAACAGACACTTCGAGATGGTCTTACATCAATCAGGTGGTCACATATCAATCAGAACAAATCCAAATATAAAAAGGCTTTAGGTACATACCAAATTCTTAACAGTAGTTGCACTGAGAATAGGATGAGGTGGGGGAACTTACTTTTCTTTCTTCTCATTGTTATAAAAAATTTCAAAGTATCATATAATTGTGCACCTGGGTGGCTCAGTTGGTTAAGCTTCTGACTTTGGCTCAGGTCATGATCTCACAATTCTTGGGTTCAAGCCCCGCGTCGGGTTCTGTGCTGACAGCTAGCTCAGAGCCTGGAGCCTGTTTCAGATTCTGTGTCTCCCTCTCTCTCTGACCCTCTCCTGCTCACGCTGTCTCTCTCTCTCTCAGAATAAAACATTAAAAAAAATTAAAAAAAAAAAAAAGTATCATACGACCATTATGAAACACTAACAATACAGAAATATATAAAACGGGAAAGACTCTATACCTCATTCTTTTTTTTTTTTAATTTTTTTTATTTATTTCTGAGAGAGAAAGAGAGAGATAGCATGAGCAGGGGAGGGTCAGAGAGAGAGGGAGACACAGATTCTGAAGCAGCCTCCAGGCTCTGAGCTAGCTGTCAGCACAGAGCCCGACGCGGGGCTGGAACCCACGAACCGTGAGATCATGACCTGAGCCAAAGTCGGACACTTAACCGACTGAGCCACCCAGGCGTTCCATATACCTCATTCTTATCCACCCCAAATCGACAACTCTTCTCTAGATTTAAGGATTCTTATTTCTTGTTGCTGTTTTTAAAAAATGTTTAGTTATTTATTTTGATAGAGAAAAAGAACACGAGCAGGGAAGAGGCAGAGAAAGAGAATCTCAAGCAAGCTCTGTGCTGTCACTGCAGAGTCAGATGTGGGGTTTGAACTCATAAACCATGAGATCATAACCTGCGCCGAAATCAAGAATTAAACTCTTAACTGAGCCACCCAGGTGCTCAGCACTGTTTTATATGCATCCTATGAATATACAGTCTGTATGTTTACAACTATTTTTATAACAAGGATAATACAATGGCAATGACTATGTTTTTAGCTTTTAGAAAGGGAATAACGCCAATGACAAAAGTCTAATAAATTTTATTTTCTGTCCTTCAGTAAATATTAAATGATAGTGTCTTCTTCTTTGTGCCCTCCATATAACAAGTTACTTCTTTTATTTATTTTATTTTTTTAATGTTTTATTTATTTCTGAGAGAGAGAGAAAGAGAGAGAGAGAGAGAGACAGTGTGAGCAGGGGAGAGTCAGAGAGAGAAGGAGACATAGAATCTGAAACAGGCTCCAGGCTCTGAGCTGGCTGTCAGCACAGAGCCCAGCGTGGGGCTCGAACCCCAAACCATGAGATCATGACCTGAGCTGAAGTCAGAAGCTTAACTGACGGAGCCACCCAGGCGCCCCATTTCTTTTATGATTCTGCTATTCTTTAGTCATCTGCAATGGCCCATCAGTACCATTATATGACTTTTAACCAATGTGGACTGGTGTAAAAACAAAAATGATACTGGTATAAAAACAAAAGCATTTGGATCCAAAAAACAAGCAGATAAATCAAACAGGAGAGTGACTGTAAATCTGTTTATCGCTTATAGATTTTTTAAATATTTTATTCATTTCTGAGAGAGAGAAAGAGGCAGTGTGAGCAGGGGAGGGTCAGAGAGAGGGAGACACAGAATCCAAGGCAGGCTCTAGGCTCTGAGCTAGCTGTCAGCACAGAGCCCGATGCGGGGCCTAAACCCACACCGTGAGATCACGACCTAAGCCGAAGCTCGACACTCAACCAACTGAGCCACTCAGGCGCCCTGATCTTTTTTTAAAATTATAGTTCTTACTGTTTATTAGCTACAAACTATAACTTTCAAAATTTAAATCTATTAGCATAATAAATAATTTTTAAAATTACTTTTTTAATGGAAAATTTGGGAAGATCTAAACATCACCTGAGCCAAAAGTCTCTGCTGTATTACAAACTGTATGTGTAAATAAAAACAAAAGCAGGAGACAGCGGGGGAAAAAACCCCCACTAATTTTCCATATAACAAGTGTGAAAATGTTATTATAATATTGATATTCATCTGAGTTCAGTGTCACTTGTTTACAAATATAACAATACGAAAGCTAGTTACTTCACATGAAAGTCAAAATTTTGATCTTTTTAAGTTTTTACTATCTTCTTTTAGCTACTGAAAAATCTGCTAATATTTCATTCAATTTCTCTTCACACAAAGTAAAATACGCCGATGATACTTGGTAAAAGATTTCACAATTTAACTTACATTTATTATTTACCAGTCCTTCTTCAAGTTTCAAGCAGAAATCTGATTTTTGAGCCAAAATTCCAAGATTTACCACTTTAGACTTAAACAAAAACAAATACACATTATTCCAAGAATACAAATGCAACAAAAAAAAATTATACCTTATAATTAAAAGCTATTATTAATTTACTTTGTATCTGTAAAATTAGGTCTTAATAAAGAGCTACAAATGCACAACACAAAACACATATATATATATTTAGAATGCTCCCATTTGGCTTTTACCTGATGGGGATCATTATTTTGTTCAGGTGCAGCATATCTGGGTACAAGGCCAGGAATTGTTGGAATAAAAAATGGTGCTGATTTGGGTACTCTGGGTGGTTCCTTTGGTTTATTCTTTTTCTGATTAAAAGAAAATGAGGAAGGGGAAAAGACTATGAAGTAATTATTGTGACAACAGTTTTTCTAATGTTTAATTCCAAATCAATTTTAAAACAAAATGCAAAACATAAAATAAAAGAACAAAACATTTTCAAATTTGAATGCCAAAATAAAATCCCAACTGACCAATATTACCGATATCTTTAACCTGGGTGTCTCAAGCCAGACCTCCAGTACCTTTGCTGATAAGGCAGAAGAAAAATGACAGGGCTCATGAGAAGCTCTATGAACTCTCAGTTTCCTCCAACATGATATTTACATGAATATTTAGGTGAAAAAATAATGATCAAATAAGTTTGAACTTGTACAACCTTTTTCGCAAAATGGGCTAGAAAGTAAAACTTACCTAAATGCTCAACAATTTCTTAAATTTTTTTTCTCCGGAAGAAATTTGGAGCCAGAGGTAGACTTTGCCATTAGAAATATTTTGGTAAAATTTTCTTGTGAAGAATAGCCCTGATTCTTCTGGTGTGTTGGAATTTCTACTGATTTTTTCTTACGTTGAGTCTTTAAAAAGCACACTAGTGCTCATTTATAAAATATTACAAGCGATAGTAAAATTCTATCAGGAAAACCTCCACTGGAATTCCCACTGACAGAACTTAGTTTTGGTGACCATACGCTACACATCACTACCTCAGGAGTATCCAATGAGAGAGGCTTTCTGTGGTAAACTGCTCAATAAAGGAGTCTCACAATTACATCATTCCTCCATTCTCTAGGAGCTCTGTTACCCTAAAGAATAAATTTTTTGAAAGAAAACCAAGGATGAAATCAGGACAAGGACTGCTAACTACGGCATACGCACAGCACTTCTTGGGGATGGTGGAGACTCTAGTAAGAGCCACAGTTATCCTTCTAACTAGCTGTTTTTGAGTTGCAAGAGAGGGTCACTGAGCTGTAAATAGGAACAAAAAGCCTTTGGAAATGCTCCACAGGGCTGTGGAAATCATTTAATCTCACAAGGAAAACCAAAAGGAGGTAAGTTACCCATAGATCAAAACTCTAATTTCTTTCATTCAGTAAAAAATAAAAATATTGGAGATGTTAGCATTATTTCTCCCATAAAGATGATTCACTTGGTTTCTAAAACAAAACTGTATCTAAGCAAGCAGGAGAGTGGTCCAAAACCTTGGTTCAATTAATTGGGGCGATCACATTAGTGTGACTGCTCCCTTCACACTAACCTTCTTGTCCTTTTTAATGCACTGCTTTTAAAGCTATTCCATAAAGTACTGCCTTTACAGCTGACACACTGGATGGACAACATCATAGATTTCACAACTACATTTCTACATAACATACCTTGTGTGAGGAAAATTAACACATGAAAACTCTTTTCTTACCCAAGACACATATGCCTTTTCTGGTGTTAAGGAATCAGCTATAAAAATACTTACCATACCTTGTCATAGTTATCTATGTATGTGTTCTTACACTTTCTAATGATCATAAGACATTCATAAACAACACTTATTATCAGATGATAACCTTTGAAATTTTCTACTCTAGTCTATTCCTTTTAATTATTATTGCTACTCACAAATGGGGGTCATAAAATATGCTTTGAAAAACACAAATTTATACCATAATTATCCATTTTTCATGTAACATTATAAATTTCTCAAGGACAAAGGAGCTAGGTTTTTTTTTCACTGCTATTGTCCCTGGGACATTTCCCAGTACTCAGTTCATATTGATTTATGTGCTTTCACCTAACACAGCAAATTGTGAAGGTCTTCTTGGAGTTGACAGAATAAGGTACGGAATGGCAAAGGGAAGCTGAAGCTTAATTAAAAGACTAGAGAAAGTCTTCTAGTACTCAAATGCCTAGTAACAAAAATATCACACATCATGGTAGCAATTTTTTTTCTCATTTTAGAAGTTAAAAAATGTAGTTTATTAGGTTAGATTTAAAACATCCAACTTCTAATGGCTCTGTAGTTACAGGCTGTACTTTTGCTATATCAAAAGGTCTGCTCAATGCCCTGAAACTCAATTTCAATAGAGAAAGAATCTTGTAATAATCACTGGATCCAAGAGCATTCCACTAAATGGTATGCTCTACTACCTTAGACATTAACTGCTCCTTCTGAAACCTTCCAAGTAGAAGAAGCTATCTCTACTAAAGAAGAAGTTTCTGGAATGTGTCTTTAGGAACCCTTATTAAGTGTACCACAGCATTACCTTAATAATATCAAGATTAAGAAGATTTTTCCACCGAGATTCAGGGAGGAGTGACAGAGTCACCAACTGCTCATTCAACTGTTCTGGGGAATCATACTCTATCATTTCATCGCTTGGTTCTATGGTTTCTTCTGAAAATTCCACATCTTCAAACAAAAAAAATTTCAGGTGAAACATACTAATGCAGAATGAGATTTTTATCATATAAAAGCAACTTAATTTATTCCAAATACATTAGTATTTCATAACATGTTCAACCAATATAGCCTTAAAAACTCTATTTACTTTATTTCCTTATCTTCTCATATTATCTACAATTCCCATCACCAGACCCAAAACACTTCTCCACTGCTATACTATTCAATATCTTATATCATCTCAATTATACTTTTGCATTAACTCATAAAGTCACTAAAAATATTTCCTATCAGTTGGAAAATACTTTGATTCAATACATTAAACTTTGCCTTCAGTAGTAATATACCCCATGTTAGGTTTGTGATATTACATTCAAAAATTATTTTACTATTTTTGATTACCTTGGGTTTGACAAGTACCAGGAAGCATCACTACTGAAGGAACATAATCTGTGGGAAGTGGGCGTAAGGAGACAACTGAATACAGTGAAACATTGGACCTGAGAAATAAAAATATAAACAATATTTTAAGACTTATAAAAAAAGTTTTTCCAGGAAAACTTCAATTATTGGTAATAAATAATCTCTGCAATCTTGAATTCAGCTTGATTCCAAGCACTTGTAAGTAAAACAAACTTCTCAGAGATTACTAATTTGAAAATGCCTTGATTCAGGTGATAAACGTCATCACAAGAGAGTTGTGCGTAAACATTACTTATTAAGGGAGTCTTTATTAATTTTTCACAGCTTTTATTTATTTTGAGAGAGAGAGAGAGAACATGGAGGTGAGGTAGAGAAAGAGAATCCCCAAAAAAGTCTCCATGCTATCAGCACAAAGGATGGTGAAGGGCTTGATCCCACAAACCATGAGATCATGACCTGAGCTGAAATCAAGAGTCAGATACTCAATCGACTGAGCCACCCCATGGAATCTTTATTTTAATATAATACAAAAAGTATTTCAGAGGTCAGTAGTGAATACTTTCTTAAGATAACATAACCTCTAAACATTTAAATTGTATTGACAAATGGCAACCTTCATTTAGGGAAATCTTTTTCATTGAAGAAAGTTTAAAAAATATTTTTTTAATGTTTATTTATTACTTTTGAGAGACAGAGAGAAGGCAGAGCACGAACAGGGGAGGGGCAGAGAGAAAGAAAGGAAGACAGGATCCAAAGTAGGCTCCAAGCTCTGAGTTATAAGCATAGAGCCCGACGCGGGGGCTCAAACCCACGGACTGTGAGATCATGACCTGAGCAGGAGTTGGGACACTCAACCAACTGAGCCACCCAGGAGCCCCCATTCAGGGAATCATAACTAAAGGAAAGATGGATTCAGGGAGTTAAGTAGAGAGCAAATATGCTAAACAGCCATAGTCTTTCCCTTTCGTAGAATGGTCCTCTAAAGTGGTCATGTTTCTGCTACGTGACCCTGCACCATAGCCTTGGATGACTAATCAAGATGTAGATAACTCCCCCAAAGGGCTAATCAGATTCTCTTTCCCATACATTATAAATCTGCAATGTAAAATAATAATTGGGAATAGCAGGTCTGAGTTATATTAAGGGTGGCAATATATACTCCTGCTGAGGTCCCATAGGTATTCTACTATTCTCTTGTCTTGATTGTTCAAGCTTCTTAGATTCCAGGAGATATTCCATTTTGCATATTACGGTGGCCAGAGTTTATTTCTATCATATATTGAATTTATTTTCATATCCTAAAAATCTAATTATAAAATTTTATTAAGAAAGGAATTATTTTTTTCCTCTTCCCTAATAGTAAGAATTAAAGGAATTAGACAACTCAGGAAATAGATAAAGTTTTTCTAGACTCAAATGACAGACTTTTATTTTGACTCTTACATGTAGTTCATCACAATGGAGTTGGAAGACATTCATAAATACCATTTCATGGTTATAAAGAGTTATGTAACTAGGAGGAATCTTAGCATTTTGCCCATACTTATGCCTTATTTTCTAGATAAAGCAGGCAGAGCTGAGAGGTTGGCCGAAGTCATAAAGTGGTAATAGGGCTGTGACAGGAAGGCCAGACCAGGCCTTTTCAGTTTTAAAATCCACTTATCCTTTCTGTAAATAAAAGCCAAATATAATAACTAAAAATCAGTCTTGTGGTTTAGAACACACACTGAAGCAGTTATCTAAATTATCAAGTAGATGTTAAATAGACTTATGGGGAATTAATGGTTTATGTGAAATTTCCATTTTATAAATTAAAAAAACAAACAAAAAAAACCCCTAAATAGCAATGTTAGCAACTGATTTTCTGGCAGTATCATTGTCCTCCTCTTTACTCAGAACAGAACGGTATAAAAGAACTTACCAGAGATAAATTCCAAGGTGGTCTACGTGGGAAGTAGCCAGAAAGTCTCCAGTGGGGGACATAGTAACATTGAGAGGAGCGGAGTCCAACAAAAAGCTGTCTATAAGGCTATAAAATGAATTACAATGTTAAAAGTATTTAACTCTACCAAAAAAGGACCGAGCTCACAAAATATATTTCTGCTAAAAGAACAAGGCATGAAAGATGAAAATATTCATGTTTTATTTCTACAAATCAACACCAGAAAGCCATCACTAACAAAGAGCTTTGTCAAATACGTTAATATGTGAAAATAATCTCTCTTAATGAGAAAGACCTAGAACCCTAAATAGACTAATTAGCTAGAGAAAGGGTTTCAACAACTCTTTCTATAGGGAAAGTACTAGAGGAAATGCTCTATTTTTCTGTAACGCCATTTTGGTAGACTGACTTGGGGACAAATTCTGAAGAGGTAACATATTTAAAATAAGTCTAATTACCAGAATCTCCTGAATTTTTGTCATTACACTGAAACTTTAAAAAGGCTTAGGCAACAAAAGAAAGTAATGAAAGGCTGTAAATAAGATTAAGAAATAGAAATGAAAAAAACTTTTGAGCAATTCTACCTATTTTTCTAATAGGTAACCATGCTATATGTGAAACAAAACAGCTTATGGAAACCAGTCTCACAACTTTAAAATACTAGCGGAGTTGAAAAGTTGGGAGGGAGAGGAAGCAATTACACGCAGGCAGGAGACACAATATTGGATTCTCAGAGAACAAAGTGATTGAGATGAGTCTTACAAATGAACAGGATTTCAATGGATGCTATTGGTAGAGAAATATTTCCTGGCTAAGGGAAATGGGGAGGGCAAAGTGAGGGAAAATACAATTGGGTGTAAGTGAGAAGTAGTTTGGTAAATTAGCAGGTGCATAAGCATAAGGCTACGTACAGCACCTTGAATACCATACATCTGAGCTTGCTTTTATCTTTTAATCAATGGAAAAATCACTAAAGGCTTTTGAGCAGATAGTGGTGTTATCTTCACTTTCATAAGAAAATCTGCTATCAGAATGTAAAAGATATGTGAATAGGAAGTATAGTGAGATTATGGTAGTAGTCATCTAACCAAGCAATAAAATCTGAACTAGAATGGTGATGGCAGGAAGTGACACAAGGGGGCTTAAGGAGCAGAAAGAAAGGTCTAACCCATTGGCATCTTGCCGTGGAGACTTCTGACACTTGGCTGAGTGTAAGCACCTTGTAGACTTGAAGCGAAGCATACTGGGTGTAATCATGGCTGTTTTAAAAACTACTTTATTCACTGAAGCTGACACATTATTCATGAGAAGGCACAGAAAATAAATGAAGTTTCAAATTTACATTAAATAAAACAAATATTAAAAAAACAGCAATTAACACTTTTTAGTGCTCCATGTTAGAACATACTCTGAGCACTTTAGTCTACTCAATTTAATCCTCACAACCCTCAAAGGCAAATCTGTCCTTACCATACAGATCAGAAAAATGAGGCCCAGTGAGATTTAAAAACCTGCTCAAGACAGAAAACAACTGAGCCAAGGATTGTCACCTAAGCAGTCTGAACACTTAATCACTATCAACTCAGTAAAACCACTACTGAAACTAAAGACACAATAAAGCTCAAGAGCAATATACAGACCCAGAGGATGTCCACACTGGTGATGCATGGAACATAATCTAAGCAGCTCAAATGTAAATGAAGACTCTCCAGTTGGCGACATTAAGTGACTTTTTCATGATAAAATCTTTCTCAATTTGCTCAGAGTGATTAAAAATGTAAACTTTAAATAATGAATGAAAGATAGGAAAACAAATTAGGAGCACTGAAGACACATACTGAAGCATGCTCCGGACATTGACTGCTGTTTAATTCTTAGTTATGGAGGAAAAAGATGAGTAATAACCTGTCTGATTTCTGTTCAAATCTACTTTGGAAGCTCACAACAATGGCTATTCTTAGATCAAGGGGACGTGAAGGGAAAGGAAACGTTTGCTAAACACTTATTATATAGCAGAGACAGTTAAATTATTTATGCTAATTCACTTAATGCCAACAACCCAGAGCAGAAACATTATCTCAGCACGTATAAAGATTAAACCTAAACACAATTTCAGATCTTGTCATTTCGTCTGTCTTGATCAGTATTTACTCATTAAAAGTTACATGGGTGGGGGGTGTGTGTGTGTGTGAAACTTCCTAATACATTTATAATCTGTTAAAAAGAGAGTCTAATGCTTGAGCAAATTTATGATACTTGATACTATAATTATTTTGTCGAATTCATTGTGCAACTTGACTTCCCACAGCTGTTGTCCGTGGGTGGATTGGCTCTCTATTATGTAAAAGCACCGAAGTAAATGGTATGGTTTCCACATACACAGCATATTTTACACTGCCACCGTAGTTCATAATGCGTAAGTGTACAGACCTAATCTCAGACCTACCACACTGTCTTCTGCTAATCCCACAAAAAGAAAAATCCCAGATAAATTGTAATTTTTTTGAGCAAACATTAATAAAATTCTAAAGGATCAGATTTTCAAGCACATAGATTTGCATATATAGATTAACAATAAATAATTTCCAATTACATTCTGAGCAAATGCAGACAGGATTTAAATGTTCAATCTCCAAAGGGACAGAATTACCTTACAAAAGACTCTTAAAAGAAAAGAAACAAAAGGGATGGTTTTGCCTCAGGGAGAAATGCAAAACAATGTTGTATTCCAACTATTTTCACATAATGCTCCACAGAGAGCAGGGGTCAGAGGGTGAGAAAGAACAAAATGTAAAGTTCTATTAACTACTCACTTTTATATTTTTCTCACCCCAAAGGGGTTCAGTCTGTGTCTCTAATAGATTAAAAACAACTAGAAGTAAGAAGTGGATGCCAGATAATTTCAGGGAAAAAAATTTAAACTCTGCTTCTCTGAGAATCCTACAAACACAAGAAAATGTTCAGCACTTTAAAAACATTTTTCAGAAAACAGTTCAGAAACTATGCGATTTGTTTTAGATACGTACTGCAGATGTGTACACAAGTATGTTACCACGCCCAAAGGTTTGCTCATAGTTTCACTTTTCAGACTATAAGAAGTCAATTCACTCTTCAAATATTTAACATGTTATGTAGATGATGAAATGCTTACTGAAAGAAGAACTAGGAATATCCAAAGGTTGCCCTACTAATTTATACACTTTAAAAAAAAGAGAGAGAATAAAAAAAAAATCCCAACGGTTACCTAGGGTTGTATGAGGAAATACTGATCCTCACATCCTTATTATCTTCTACAAAATCAATTCATCCTCAGAACATTACACAACCAAGCAAAGTTGATATCAAAATTATCGGGAAATCTGCTTCTTTCTCCTGTGCTTATCACAGCAAAATGACACAAACTATGCAACCTTGGGTAAATCACTTCTCTCTGAGCCTCCATTTCCTCATTTGTAAAATGGGACTAAAAACAGTGGGAGTACCTACAGCTACTAGGATATGAGGGAAGATGAAAATATAAGCACATATAAAAGTCAGCTTAGTTGCAACCAGGCAGCAACAATTGTTTGATACTGTTTTTCAAGCTTTCTCATCCACTCTGCCTCATAGCCGAACCAAATAAGTATTTATGTTTTTCTTTATTAAAATATACTTTAGTCCAATCAGTACAGAAACTATTAGATTTTCTTTTAACAATCTCTATATGACTAACTCATTTCTTGCCCGTTTGTTTCTCTCAGTTTCCCTTTGTATTCACTTAATATTGTCTCAGGGTTCATCTAAAACTAAGGGGTCAGAGTTGAAAAGTGGTCAGATTTAAATCTGTTCAACGTTTTACTGAAATAAGAAATTTAGCAAAAAAGCTAAAGGTTGTGTCAAAGACTGACAGCTTTGAATAGTGGTTTCAGATCCTAATTCTTACATTTCAAACATGTTTATCACTATTTATTTACTTAATGTTTGTTTATTTTTGAGAGAGAGAGAGAGAGAACATGAGTTGGGGAGGAGCAGAGAAGGAGACACAGAATCCAAAGCAGGCTCCAGGCTCTGAGCTGTCAGCACAGAGCCCGAAGTGTGGCTGAAACTCGAAAATGTGAGATCATGACCTGAGATGAAGTCAGAAGCTTAACCAACTGAGCTGCCCAGGTGCCCCATGTTTACCACTTTTTTAAAAAATTTATTCTGAAATTGAGGGTGGGGGGGAGGGAGAGGGAGAGGGAGAGGGAGAGGGAGAGGGAGAGGGAGAGGGAGAATCCCAAGCAGGATCAGAAGTGTCAGCGCGGAGCCTGTTGCGGGGCTCAAACTGATGTACTGTGAGACCATGACCTGAGCTGGAATCAAGAGCCAGTCACTTCACTGACTGAGCCACCCAGGCACCCCTTACCACTTTTAACAAATATTTTGCCAGTTTAGTACTATTAAACATTAACCCATCTCTCCCATCTAATGTGAACTGAAACTAAAATGGTATATACCTTGTACAGCTTTCCTACTATAAAGCAATTTAATTATAAAGTTCATTTTTAGAAGATAGTAAAAGTCTAAGAAGCAACAATCAGTATTTCTAATCTAGCCTTCAAAAAAAGGAGGTTTTAAAAATTAAGGAAGTACAAACTTTAAGTGAACTTTTTAAAGTTGGAAGACACGGACAGCTAATTAGATTTTGTTTTACTATATTTTAAGTGAGAGATACACCTATGGAAAAGATTCCTAGTTCTTAGAGTTGGACCCATTAGACACTCTTGTTGTACATATAGACATTCTTGCTGTGCATATTCCGAATCTGGTATGTATGCTGGACAGACAGCAGAGCCTCATTCCTATACCAAACTTAAAGGGAAATGAGCCTATCAGGGTTTTTCCTTTCTAAAGGTGAAACTGCTTTCAGGTAGAAACTTATCAATTCCTGAGAAAACAGGAAGTACAATTGGACAGAGCATAATATAGGAATATTTCAAGGTTTAAAAAGTGCCATCTTCCTTCTCATTTTTCCCACCTTATGGTATGTTCCTATTAAAATACATACTTTACTTTTTCCATCCCTACTTTCATACTCTAAGGAATTCTGTTAAGTAATATGATTTTAAATTCTATCTACTCCTACATAATTCTTAACTACAAACCTAGCTCCCTTGTTCTCACTCTGTAGGTCTCCAATGTTCAAATTATGTAACAGAAGTAGGTAATTTTTCACTTTAAGTGCTGTTTTTATAACAAGTTTCAATCTATGAAACGGATTTCTGAACACTGCTGGGTTTTACCCAAATTCTATGAAACACATTTTCATTATTTTAAGGTATCTAAAACAAGAAGTATGTGAGAAACAGAAAATACATAATATATAAATGTCAGGTTAGGGTTTTTGACCCTTTAACTAAATATAATTATCAACAACAACAAGACACTCAGTAAGAGTTTGCAGTCCTAAAGTCTGAACTCTATTTTGGAGTATCAAAAAGGTCAAATAAGCTTTCTTAAAATTTATGCAATGCACTTCTATATTGCAATTTTGCAGGTAAAGAAAACCTTAGAGAGGTTGCATTTTCCTCACTATTATCTTTTATGGCACTACTCCCTGCTGTTTAAGAGATCAAAAACACTCCAAGGATAAAATAAAGTTAGAAAAACCCCAAAATATACTCACATTCGAAAGGCACACAAACCATTAACTACAGGTAAAAGTTACATGTAAAGACAATGACTAAGAAATCTTCTGACGGAGGTTAGGGGTTTAAAAAGAAACTCACCACCCAGATGGAAGGTCCCAAGTTCTAACAGTGCAATCCATTGAAGCACTTATTAACCAACGACCATCAGGACTGAAAGCCTTCAAATTAAAAGAAAAAATGATTACATATATAATGTGTGTGCATATTAACGTATGTATATTTGTGCCTGTATGTTTAACAGCCTAAAGAATGCAAGAAATGAAAACAAGATGTAGGCTTCATGAAAAAATAAGTCTGAATAAAATTTAGACTGACGTGTCTTATAAAAAAACATTTCTTATATACCACTGTTTGGATATAAATAAAAATTAAGCTTTTACATGTATTATAAAAAGTTTTTAAAATGAACAGTATCATTCAATTTTCAATTGTTACTACATAACCTCCTACATTTATAGACAGTTAACAAACTGACTATAGACATTTTTAGCATAAAACTGCTATTCTGGAACATTTAATCAAATATTTTGTTAGCCTGATTTCAGTTACAAAGTTCTTTGAAAGAAACAAAACTTACATTTCACTAAAGAGACTATATATTCAACTGGCTTTTCTAAGAGTCCAAAATGAATGCAAACTTTCTTAAAATATTAAAGTTACTAAAGAAGAACTTCTATTTACTTGTAGCTTCAGTTAAAGATCTCCTTTTATAATGATGTTTTAATTCTAAAATGTAATTTAAAACTATAGTAATTAGAATTTCAAAATAAAAGCAAATAATAAACTACTTATGCCACCTTAATGAAGCTACATCTTTTCTATTGATATAAATGGATAAATAGCTCTCACTTTCCTGTAGCACATAAGTGTTGTAAGGCTTAGATCAGGTTATATGTGAAAGAAGACCCAAAACAAAAAGATTTAATGTTTATTATGGTAGGTTATTCATCCAGAAGTCTAAACACATCAGAGGGATTATGACCGTCCATATTAACAGATGATACTGGGATAAGAGGACTCCAATCTGTTCACTGGGTTGCAATGATACAGCAGAACCTCAAACCTTAAGGTGCAGTGAGCTCAATTTATAGGATCACACACATTAGGGACAGGGAAAATCATTCTGATAGGTAAAGTCATGTGTTAAATGCTCACAGATTTAACTGAACAGGAATAGTTTATTACTGACTTGGAGAAATTCCAGACATATAAATTCAAAATAATAATAAAATTCCTTTGAAAAGGAAAGAACTACAAAGGGCAAGCTGGCACCGACTGGTTTTAAAAATGCATCAAAAAATTTCATCAAAATCACTCCACTCCTCCCCTCATTTCTACAGATTATATCACAACAAATTCTGTTGATCTGCCAATCTCCTATCTGCAGAACAACACAATTTCCTGACATTTTCCCCCAATTTTTTTATGGGAATGGATAAAATGCAGATTTTTGGTACAAGAACAGATAAATAAATATAGATATTGAAATTGCCACTAAATAGCCCAGATTTTACTTTAATTTTTTCCTGTTTTCAAGTGAATCAAGGTGTCTGTGACTGATGAAAAATAACAATATATAAACTTAACATAGCCTCACTATGTACTTTACAAACTAGAGTACTTTTTATTATATCTTATATCCCACTAAGAACATAATAGTAAGCTAAAATACATTTTTATTGATTAAACTCTTTTAGAGTTAAGAAATCTAAACTCTATAAATAACACCTCACTAGAATAAACCAGGTACAAGATATTCAAGGTCCCCTACTATTCATTTGTTGTACATGCAGAAAATCAGAAATGAGTTTTCTCAGCCTAGTTTAATACTAAGTAAAAAATGATATACTTATGTTTCAATAGATCATTTATTCTCCAGAGGATATTTTAGCCTTGCTTAGAGTTTAAGAGAAAAAGATAAACTCTGAGATTTATACTTTAATCTGACAGCACTAACTCCCTGAGAAATATTAAACTTCTTTATATTCTCAATTTTCTTTAAAACTCTATGCTTCGAAAATTAGTTTCCGAATTATTTATATTGAAGATCTCATGAAAAATTTAGTGCTATTAAAGGATAATAGTTTTAATTATTTGAAATATTTTAACCTAAATAGAAACAGAAATTAGTCAAGTTTTATTTAAACATCAAAAGTTCATTTTACCAGGTCATTTATTTGGCCTTGATGTCCAGAAAACTCTCTGACAATCTTCCTAGTTTCAATATCCAGAACACTAATGGAGAAGTCATCCAAGGCAAGTCCCAGAATACCACTAGCAATGAACAAATGAACAAATCAACAAACCTTTCACATTAAAATCTCACAGTTATTTTGATTTTGCTAATAATCAAGTACACCTGTGGGGAAATTAAACAAAATTCTGTTCTTTTACATTAAATGTATGATTTCCTCACTTAGTAAATTATGTAAGACTTTTACCAAAAACATCAAAAAGAAAATCCATAATCATTAAAGGAAAAACTTTACCTGTCTCTATGTAGCAGCATCATATTCGGAGATGAATCAAGGCTCATAGAGTGTATTAAAATTTTGTTTTTAAAGTTCCAGAACTTGAGTAATCCTTCACTACCAGCTGTAATTGTCAACTGGTTTAAGCCATCCACTGCAACACCTCTAACAGATCCTTTATGAGCTTTAAAGCATATGTTAAAAGGAAAAAGAAATAAGAATTGGCACTGCCTTTGAACACTACACAAAGAAAGATTCCTTCATTTAAATATCTAAGTTCCCTCTATTTAGCTCCCTTAAAATCTTGAAATTAATCTGGATTTCAGGGAATAGGGAGAAAATTATTATACTGCTGTAATTAAAATAATATCCATCAGGTTGATGCCAGAAAGCTTAAGATTTTATTTAATGAAAGGGGAAGAAAACACAAATTTTAATTTGTATAGTATCTTCTTTCCCCTAATCTACCAATACTCCGTTTTCTCTTTAAGTATTTCAACATAGTGTTTATAGTTAAGTATATGCCAGCAACTGCACGACAAGGTTGATGAGAACCCATCTACAACCTTAGCAAAATGTCTGGCACTCAAGAATTTAATAAACGTCAGAGACAGTTATTAGCCTTGTATCTATCTATATTATTTTTTTTTAAATGAGAAAAAGGAAAAAAATTCAATACCTTGATCCTCGCCAAAACTTCCTCGATGAATACCAGACTGCATATTATATACATCTACAGTTCCTGATGACAGGCCAATTATGGCAAAGTTTCCACAAGAAGTTATATCTACTGCCTTTGGAAAAAAAATTTAAACACAAATGTTACAAAAAAATAACATTTTTACTGTACTTCATGGTTTCCAAATATCTTTTCACCTACTAATAACCTCATTTAAAAAAAAAAAGAAGCATGCTAAACAAATTGCCTCATTAATTTTCTTAAACATAATGTCATTGTACTTGGGTATATATGAAATGTCTGCTTGATTCTATGTCCATTCTCTAAGAAGCATACAGAAATTATTACCCAAGAAAATAAAATCTAACTAAAGGTAACTCAATTGAAATTTACATAGTCAGAAGAATTCTATTTCAGGTGGCCTTCAATTTTTAATTTATTCACAACACTGCTAGAGTCAAAGTATCCCATTGCCTAATTTCTTTACCTTACCTTATGTAATTGCTTCTACAGCAGATATAAAACTGAAAACATGTCCTTACGATGTTCACCATTATTATATTAAGCTTCAACTTTATTCTCTATTAAAAGAGGCTAACAACAAACAACATCATAGGACGTGTTGCAAGGATAATATAAAATAATGCCTGTTAGGGGTGCCTGGGTGGCTCTGTCAGTTAAAGTGTATGACTCTTGATTCTGGCTCAAGACAAGGTCTCATTATCATGAGACTGAGCCCATGTCAGGCTCCACACTGTGCGTGGAGTCTGCTTAAGACTGTCTCCCCCAACTTTCTCTGCCCCACCTCTCCTCACATGCTCACATATGCACATGTGCTTTCTCTCTCTAAAAAAAGAATAGTGCCTGTTAGGCACAGAGCCTAGAAGAAAGTAAGCACACAAAAATGTTAGCTGTAATTATCGTCACCACTACTAGTACCACAGCTACTCAAAACTGTGCAGGTAATCTTAAGAAGCTTAAGATAAAATCTCTATGGTTTAGAAAATAGTATAAAAGCTTAAAACTGGATTTTTGTACTATGGAGAACAAAGCATACATACTTTCAAAATGCTGTGTACAAAACAGAATCAACTATGTAATTACTCTTTTAATAAGTTAAAAAACAGGAATTCACTAAAAAATAGAATAGATAAATTCAGCAAGGTTACATGATAGATCAGTAGACAAAAATTAACTATATTTCAATACACTAGCAATAAACAATCCAAAACAAAATTAAAGAAAGAACTCCATTTATAATAGCATTAAAAGGAATAAGATACCAGGAATCCAAAGAAATACGAAGCTTGTAAACAGACAACCACAAAATATTGCTGACAGAAATTAAGGATCTAAATAAATGGAAAGACATCCCATGTTCATGGATCAGAAGTAATACTAATATGGTAACATTCTTCAAACTGATTTACGGTATCAACAAAACCCCTACCAAAATCCTAGCTGCTTTCTTTGAAGATATTGACAAGTGGATCCTAAAATTCACATAGAAATGCAAGAGATTAGAATAGCCAAAACAATCTTGAAAAAAGGAGAGTTTGGAGTATTCAGTTTTTTTTTTTTTTTTCAAAACTTAATACAAAGGAACCACAGTCAAGACAGTGTGGTTCTGGCATAAAAAAAAGACATATAAGACAATGGAATAGAATTGAGAATCTAGAAATAAAGCCTCATATTCATGTCAAATTTATTTTTCGCAAGCATGCCAAGAATATTCAATGGGGGAAAAAGTCTTTTGAAGAATGATACTGAGACAACTAGGTATTCATATGTAAAAAAAATGAACCTGTAACCCAACATACACCATACACATAAATTAACTCAGAAAGGATTATAAGGTTAAAAGTAACAGCTAAAACTATGAAACTCCTTAGCACAAATCACAGGAGTAAATCTTCATAGCCCTAGGTTAGGCAATGATTTTCCAAAAACCATAAGAAAAATAAAAGGGTTGGACTTAATCAAAATTAAAAACTCTTACACTGAAAATGATATCAACAAGAAAACGAAATGACAGGCCACAGAATGGGGAAAAAAACACTGCACATCACACATCTGATAAGGGATTTAGATCCAGAATACATAAAGAGCTAATACAACTCAATACAAAGAGACAAATAACCCCTTTAATAGGCACAGAATTGAATAGACATTTCTCCAAAGACATATCGTCAATAAACACATGAAAAGAGGCTGAACATTGAGTCCCTAGGGAAACACAAATTAAAATCACAGTGAGATACTATTTCATACCAACCAGGAGGGCAATAATCAAAAGAGCAGACAATCATAAGCGTTGGCTAAAATGTACAGACACTGAAACACTTATACATTGCTAGTGGGAGTATAAAAAGTTACAGCCACTTTGGAAAACAGGTTGGCAGCTCCTCACAAATGTTAAACAGAGTTCCATTATGAGCAACCATTCTAGTCCTAGGTATATATTCAGAAAAACAAAAACATATGTTGACATAAAACCTTTTGTGTCCTAGGGTCTCCTCTCTAAGGAATTGGAAAACAAAACAAAACAAAAAAACACAAAACCTCAAGACAACCTGGCTATGTGCACATGTGACAACAATATTCTTCATGATGTTATAACATGAGACCACTTAATCAGACTGCATGTTTGTGTGTTACCATATATAATAGACAAAAAAAAAAAAAAAATAGAAAATGTACAAAAAACTATGCCATGTGGCGTTCAGGGCTCAGTTCTTCAGGTATAAACACAACTGAGCAGTGCTGGCACAAATAAAGTTACTTCTGGAAAGAAAAACCTCGGTGTCATGACTCCCTTGGTGAAAATCCTACTACAATGACTAATGTTAACATTATTTATAAGAGTCAAGAAGTAGAAACAACATAAACGGCATCAACTGCTCCATGGCTAAATAAAATGTGGTTTCTACACAAACAGTAGTATTATTCACAATAAAATGAGTAAAGTATATTATAAATGCTATAGCATGAATAAACTTTGAAAACATTACGCTAAGTGATGGAGAAACCAATCAGAAAGACTGTGTATTGTATGACTCCATTTACATTAAATGCCCAGAATAGGAAAATCAAAGAAATAAAAAGCAGACTGTGGTTACCTAGGTTAGGGAGAAGGGAAGGGGAAGTGTGAGAATGGGGTTTCTTTCTGAGTTGATAAGGATATTCTAAAATTAGACTGATTAGATTTTAGTGATGATTTCCCAATCCTATGAATATACTAAAAATCACCGAACACTTTAAAAGAGAATTGTATGGTTTGTAAATTATATTAATAAAATTGTTTCTTAAGAAGTAGAAGCAGGGCACCTGGGTGACTCAGTCAACTAAGCGTCCAACTCTCGCTTTTGGCTCAGGTGGTGATTTCACAGTCCTAGGATAGAGCCCTGCGTTAGGCTCCACATTGGGCACAGAGCTTGCATAAGATTCTCTGTCTCCCTCTGCCTTTGCCCCTCCCCACACAGATGTGTGCTTTCTCTCTCTTTTTCTCTCTTTCACTAAAACAACAACAACACCCCAAAAAGCAGAAACAATGATTCTGCAAACCAAATTTGGCATCGCTTCTTCAGATCTGAAAATCTAAAGGCAATAGAAGTAGACTAACATATTAACAAAAGCAAACAAAAACAAAATTTCTTAAGAGGAGTAAACTTTTAAGTAAACACTGGCATTTAAAAGCTGTATTTAAGGGGCACCTGGGTGGCTCAGTTGGTGAAGTGTCCCAACTCTTGGTTTCGGCTCAGGTCATGATCTCATAGTTTGCGAGTATGAGCCTGGCATCGCGCTCTGCACCAAGAGTGTGAAGCCTGCTTAGAATTCTCTCTTCTTCTCTCTCTCAAAAATAAAATAAATTAAATATATGTTGTACTTAAGAAAGGCTTAGAACTCAATTAGAATTTCTCTAAAAGGCCCTTCTCAAGAAACAAATTTAAGAAAATAAAGGTTTTAAATAACTTCTATATCTGTAAATCATTAAAGAGTTAGCTAAATCTTACTCCTATATCAAAAGAAATCAAGAAAGAAACCTTATGAGTCACATTCATTAAATACAGTACTGTATAATCAACATAATTAAGGTAAGAAAGTTCATTGATAAATGCTGAATTCATCTTCAAAAGGTATTCTGAGTAATCCTACATTAATTAGAAAACTACTAAAGCAACTAATATACTACATCTAATTAAGCAAAACTTAACTTAAACCTAAACTAATTCTCTATAGTTGGACAACTTAACACTATTAAGGAATAATTTCAAAATGTTAAACTGTTTTTTCAACCAATAGGATCATTAATAAACTTGAGTATAACGAGATTGCCACAGGACAGTTTTCCAGAAGAAAATGCTCTTATCCACAAGGTCAAGCTCACTTACTGTTGCAGTTATGTCATCTGTCTTCAGCTCTTTTGGCTTGAGAAAGTAAGCACCTATTGTAGATCTCTGATAGTTCCAGGTTGAACAAGATAGTTTACCTTGATGGCAAGCAATGATACTATCCCAGTCACTTTCACGAGCTTCCTCTAGAACATAATGAAAAGCATATATCAAATTATTATTCATTCCGTATTACTTATTAAACATTTACCTATTACTTATTAAACATATAATATTCTATGTTATCACTAGGCACTAAGGACTGATGGTGTACAGGTAATTTTGGATAGCAATGAACTTCCAATCTAACAAGAAATTCTGGGGGCACCTGGGTGGCTCAGTTGCTTAAGCTTCATTTCAGCTCAGGTCACGATCTCACACTTTGTGGGTTTGAGCCCCACGTCGGGTTCTGTGCTGACAGTAAGGAGCCTGCTTGAAATTCTCTCTCTCCCTCTCTCTCTGTCCCTCCCCTGCTCACACACTCTCTTTCATTCCCAGAAATAAATAATAAGCTTTAAAAAAATTTAAAAATAATTCTGATTAGAAGAAATTATAATAAAGAATGATAGTGTCTTATAGTAGCACTCAGTACTAAGACTTGAGCCCAGCAGTAAGTGGCTCCCTGAAAGAAGCAATTAAACAGAGAGCAATTAATTGGGTGCAGGGGGCACAAAGGTTCAAGAGTAACTTGAACAAAAAGAAGTAAGTGATGCATTTCTGGAGAAGGATGTGAAGTGGGCAAAGCAACTAGGGCCATATCAGAGTCTTGAAAGCCATGTTCATAAGAGGTGATTACATCTTACAGGCAATAAGGGGCCTCTGAAAGATTTTTAAGCAGGTGAGTGACATGATTCAGTTGTCTTACATCACTCAGGCTCTAAGATAAAAAATGGAAAGCAGGGTGGTCAAAATTAAAGTTTAAAAAAAAAAAAGGAAAGAAACCATCACCAGGTTGATATAATACGTCAAAATGAAAATGGTACCTTATTTCTGTGGTAGTTTTCACTCAATAATCCCACCATATTATCCACATTTTTCATAAAATCAATTCTTTGAATGAAACACCACTTGAATGATGTAGCATATTAGGACCTTAGTGTATTCCCATTTTGATTAAATTATAACTTTATGTTCTTCATTCATACCTTTTTATATTAGTGACTTACATTATACCAGACATATAATAGAATAAAAAGAAGAGCTACAAATGAAATACCAAATCCTGTTTATTAACAGGTCTCATAAGGAACAAAACCTGAAATTAAAAGATAATTTCAAATTATAAATAACTCTTTTTTCATCTTCGTGTTAGTTTAGTATGGACTTGGGTTACCTCTGAATGCTTATTAGTATCTGCAAAAACAGTCTTTAAAATGAAGAAAATTTAAAAATAGTAGGAAAAATAGAAAAGTAGAATTTCTTGGAACACAGTGTTAAGTTACCTACCAGCTGCAAATTTTGTGATGGGTGGAAGTCTTACTGACAAGGCATTTTGAAGTCCTTTACGTTTGACTCTTTTTTTATTTATTAATCCTGGAGTTGAGGGAGAGAAGAACATAACTATGAATTCTTCTCACTGAAAAATGAACATAAAAGAGAGGCTATTCCTTGTCAACTATCAAATTCAAGATATTCTTATTTAAGTCAGGAATCAAATAAAGATGATGTTTTTACCGCTATTACATAATCATTTTTGAAATTTACTCTATGTAATTAGATAAGAAAATAAACCATGAGATATAAATAACTGAAAAACAAAGGAAAAAATTAGTTTTTACAGATGATATGATGGTCATAGTCATGTCAATCAAGAGAAACAACCAAATAATAATTAGAAGTAATAATCATTTCACTGGACCAAATACAGAACCAATAAAAACAGTGAGTTTCTAAAATGCAATAGTATTTAATATCATTATAATCATTATTTAGTAATTACAACATATTACATATTCTTATATATTACTAAACATTGCAGATAGAGATAAAATGAACAAAGATTGTATCTATAACACCAGCAAAAAAAATTTAGCAAATTATAAAAAATACATAAGATACCACTGAATAATCTCAAATATGTAAGACCAACAGGAGGAAAACTAAAAAAAACAACAACAACAACAAAAAAAAAACCACCAAAAAAATTTCATTAAAGCTCTAAGGAAAATAAAAAAACAACTTGCATGAGGATATATCATATCCCTAGATGTGAAGATTCATAAAGATATCAAATCTCTTCAACTTAATTTCTAAAAATATTACTTTGGATGCTGATTAAAAACAAATCCTTAAAAAAATAAAAAGATCTTAACACTCATCTGAAAGTATATACATTCATGAATAGCCGGGATAGTAGCTAAAAGGAGGGGTATTTATGAATAAAATGGAAAAACATTTTCCAATATATAAAATCTCACAAATGCTGGAAACTATAGGAAAAAATACAGAATAAAGCAAGTTCTTTCTGCAAAGATAGGACACTGATTACTTTGCCGCTTTCTTCTCTACTATCCCGTCCATGTTTAAAATCCTGCACTCTACATGTAGCTCCAGTTAGATCATCCAGGTCTTCTGGGTGGCAGCAGTATGTTTTTACCACCCAAGATGTCTTCATTCTTTTCAACAACCTTAAAGCAGCCCTCAACCACTTCTATAGCAATACTGATGTTAAAAATCTTTCTATTACTCTTCACACAAGGGTTTTTAAATTTCATCCAAGAAAAAAGGAATTTATCAATGAAGCCTCCTCTGGTTGTCTCACAGTATAAGTATCTTGAAATGTTTCTTTTGTGACAAGCAGTTTTTTTTTCCATCTTGCAAATGACCTACCATGTCCCAAACTCTTGTTAAATTTTTCATGTATTGTGGAAAATGATTGAAGAGTTCCATCTTGACCTGTTGATATATAAAGAAAATAACTATCAAACTTCATCAAAACAACGGATCATTTGAATCTTATAGATTCTTAAAACTTGAAGTACAGTTTGGGATACTTTAAAAGGAGAGCTAAATTGCAACTACTTCATTATAATACTCACCTGTGCACAGAATGCCATTTAGTAAGAACAAAGGATAATACGAGGTACTAATAATTTTCAGCAGATTATTAGACTTGGTAAGGGCTACAGTTTCAGAATCTGATCACCTGTCTGTGAGGATCGGTATATAAAATAATACTCCAAATGAAGATAATATCTACAGTGCTTCCTGAAGAATTCAAAAAGAATCTCATTTACCCAGATTTCCAAATCACTCAAAGGGTATTTGAATTTGAAAATTCATTCATACCAAACCTAATAATTATTTAGCACCCTGCTCTCAATACTTTCTGGAATAAACTAATCACACAAAGCAGAAACTCACTTGCACTAAGAATCTGCTGTCCGTTTTGTCCATAATATCTGATTTTGGTGAGAGGAGCACTATGTCCCATTCTGAATCTCAGAAGCCGGCCTTCACCTGTGGGACCATCAAATATCCATATCTGCCAAGAAATAAAAAGGTAAGGTTCTTTCACAAAGTGTTAAGTGATCTGCAAGCATCAGATCATCTACACATATCAACTGGCACTGGGTAGTGGTTGCCAGTCTACTGACCCTGGAGAAGGGGCTGGGGAGAGATGAACTGTAACCCTTTCTCACTTCACTGCAGTCATGTAACCTGCTGTGCTTTTTGTTTCATCTATACTATTATGGTATCCATTTTCCTTTCATCTTCTAGGTTTCAGGCTGATACATTAAAACAGGCTTGCAATAACCTCAAGGGTAAATGCCAGGGAAATAACAACAGTAATCATAATACCCTCAGAGCATTGTCAGCACCATTTGTGACAAGAAGTGGCTCTCTATGGAGAAATGTCAGTCCGGCAATTGCTGTAGAATGTGCATTTCTCATTTGATTGATTAACTTTTTGTCTTCCAGATCCCAGAGTCCAATATGGCCACATGGGCTTCCAGCTGCCATTATTGGATGACCATCTGTTATTAAAAATAAAATACAATAAGAAACACATGCAGCATAAAACAACCAAACTTAACAATTCTTCTCTCCATCCCTTTAATCCATAAACAAATTTAGAAAAAAACTATACACCTATAATCTACCCATATCCCTATGGCTATTTGTAACACAGTATTTCACTTATTTCTATTAAGTACATTAACTTGCAAGAAAACATCCATTTGGAAAATGTTGGTAAGCTTCGAAGTATACATTTTAAACATTCTTAACTCTTATCAATAAATAAATGAACAGTTACCTGTACGAAATGAAATTGAAGTAATAGGTCCCCAGTCTTGACGAAACTTCATTAATGTTTCATCAAATTTAATGTTGTGAATGATGACCTGACCTGACATAAGACCAACAGCAACAACATCCACAGCTGGTGCCTGAAAATTAAATTGTTCAACTTTTTATTTTCTTAGTCAAAATAGCTTCAGTAATCCTTATGTTATGCATCATTACTTACGTAAAAGAAATTATGGAATATCTTCCTGATGATGGCAAAAAAAAAAAAAAACCCTACGAAGAATTACCATTCTAGCATACTTTGTTAGTTCATATGGAAATATTTAGGAATGATTTTCCCAAGTTACTTCCCAGCTACAAATCTGGTAGTCACCATCAACTTCCTCATCCCCAAACACAGCTGACTCAGTAAGAAAACAGCCATAAAAGGAACCTGACATATGAAAACACTACACATCAGTGACTGGAAAGAAAACAAAAGAGATACAACTCTTAGAAAGCATATAAAGGCGATATGCATGGCAACATAAAAGGCCAACTATAAAGGAAGTGGACAATTCTTTATCCAAGGAAACAAAAACCTATAAAATATATTAAAAGGCAAAAAGTTTTACAATTAGTCTGTTCTAGCTCTAATATTTTATGAATATAATCTTCATGTTATACAATGGTCTTATATATAGGCTCTATAATAAGTTTTTGTATTTTAGAACAGAAGATCAATGTCCAATGCCATTGCAGAATAGAATCAGGCTAAACATTTTATTAATTTACCATTATGTGACCATTATGCATGAGACTCTGGGGCTACTAAAACAAGTATGATTCCTTGCCCTCAAGGGACCTAATCATCTGATACCTCAGGGTCTTATGGGTAGGCAAAAGCACAGCAAGGTTGATGGTTGTAAGAGAGAATGAAAGAATAAATATAAACTGGGCAGGGATAAGCAACAGATATTTAGAAGGACAAGGGTACACTGGCAGTGTATGTGTCCAATGTAAGATTCTCTGCAGACCTTCAGTCATTCATTCATTCATACATGTTCTGCAGACGCATGAAAACAAAAGGAGTTATTTATGGAAAAGTCCAATTAATGAAATATTAGGATTTGGGTCCCAATTATTCCAAACTACAACTCTCAAAATTCTGACAAATTTCTCTGTATGACGTATAATCTCCCTTGCCGTACTGAACAACTAACTCATCTCCATCATCACCACTCTGCACAAGGCACTAGACTATACGCTTACAAAATGATAGTAAACTGGGGCGCCTGGGGGCTCAGTCGGTTAAGTGTCCGACTTTGGCTCAGGTCATGATCTCACGGTTAGTGGGTTCGAGCCCCACATCGGGCTCTGTGCTGATAGCCAGCTCTGAGCCTGGAGACGGTTTCAGATTCTGTATCCCCTCCTCTCTCTGACCCTCCCCTGCTCACACTGTCTCTCTCCCTCTCTCAGAAATAATAAAACTTTAAAAAAAATTTTTTCAAAATGATGAGTAAAGACTGTTCCACAGCAACCATAGATTTAGAGCCTAACTCCAGGCAAAAAGATTTCCATAAATGTTGACAGACAAAAGGTTTGTTCTTTTATCAATGACATTTCCAAAACACTACTTTTTAGGGCAATATTAATAAAAATAAACTAGTTTATGTATTATTTTTATCTTTAGGTCTAAAAACTACGGTTGATCTCTAAAATGGAAAGATCACACTTCATTTCTTCTTTGACTTAATAGAAAAATACTAACCTGCTGAAGAGCTGTTACTCCAATTTTCCATCCCAGAAATGTATATAGAAGCTTACTACAGGAAGAAAAACAGTTCAAAGTTTTTATTTTTAGGGAAACAAAATCGACTGGATGTTAAAAAGCAAAATAATAATGGGTGATATTTAAGTTGTTACTCTGCCCCACACTATTCCAAGTATATATATATTAACTATTTAATACTCAAAAAACAATTCCATGAGGTAGATAATCACCAGTCTCCAGACAAGAAAGTAAGAAACTTAGTTATGTGAAACAATTAAGCTAAGGTTATGTGGCTAATAATTCAAAGAGCCCAGACAAACCAATTCCAGATCCTATGCCCCATGCTGTTAGTAACTACTATACTATGCCAATTCTTTAAGAAATAGAAAAAAAATACAAGACTAAAAATCATTTTATATTACAGACTATAACAAAAAACCATCTCAGAATGTAGATAGATCTTGTTTTTTTTTTTTTTTTTTTTTTAATTTTTTTTTAATGTTTTATTTNGAAACAGGCTCCAGGCTCTGAGCTGGCAGTCAGCACAGAGCCCGACGCGGGGCTCGAACCCACAAACCACGAGATCATGACCTAAGCGAAAGTCAGACGCTTAACCGACTAAGCCACCCAGGTGCCCCTGATCTTGTTTTTTTCACTGCAATGTATTTCTAGAAAAATATTACCATAGGGAATATGACACTTCTGTTATATTACTGTTACAGGACAATAGTGATGCTGCTCTAAATTATAGAATCAAGCCACAAATGATAAATAAGGCTATGAAGAAACAAAGATTCTGAAATAGTTACAATGATATTCAATAAATACTAAATCATGTAGTAAATTCAGTAAGTGGACACAGATTAGTTTACTCAATGATTATCCAAGGAATATTTAATGTACAATAGTGTGTGAACATCACATAAAGAGCCTCAATATATAATGTAGGAGCAGAGACAATACTTCTGTCATTATCCCCAAGCTGATAAGGGTACGTAGTGAATGATATCTGCTAAACTGAATGAAAACACTGATTTAAAACTACAAACAAGGATAAATCTTAAACCTTTAATAATCTTACTTTCCCTTTCAAATTCAGGAGAGCTTTAGAAAGTACAGTTTGGATAGTCAAATATTTTTGTCTTTTTCATCCTATACAAAGACTGAGCTACCACTTTTTTCTCCATAAATGTTCAAGTAACAGGTAAAGGTATTCAAAATCATTTATCTAGCCCTCCAGCTATACCACTATTATAGTAGATGTTCAACAAGTTTGTGGTTGATCATAAAACTACTTTTACCCTGAAAATGATTCCAAATGTTAGAACCAAATTAATACTGATTGACTTTGCCTTCTCCTACCTTTTCAGTTTATTGAAAACTAGATGCTGTCTAGTGGCCAACACATAAGTATTTTCTTATCTTATGTTACTTTACTAGAGGCTTCTCTATAGTTATATGGATTCCTTAGAGATTAGGGCCTTTAGCGCACACTTTTCAACAGGTATTTATGAAGCTGCCTACCATGTGACAGGACCACATGCCACCTTTTGCCTATGTCATACTGTGAGTAACAACTCCAAAAGTAGGTATGTTTATAGAAGGCCCTCCAGGTAAACATATAAAGACAGGAGAATTGGGAGACTTAAGTATGCATTAGGGAATAGTAGATAAGGATAAGATGGGAACCGCCTATGTTATATTTTAAAGTGCTTACTTGGATTTTACATTCCACAACTGTAGGCTTCCTTGTTCACTTCCAAGAAGTATTTTATTCAAGTAGGTACTTGGGTGCAAAATTGCAGAAATTTTAAATACCGATTTATCAAAAGTCAATTGCAGGTATTCCTCTACAAAAGTGAAAGTTATAAACAACATGTAATTATTTTTCATATACCCATATATCTACCCTTAAAGTAAATCTACCATATCAAAGATTTATGTTCTAATATAAATCAAAGACTTGCATACTAACCTTTACACATTCCTTGAAAAATTAAACAAATGTGATGAGGAGCAACTTGTAAATGTAATTTAGACTGTCAAAAGTTTTCTAAAACTCTGATATCAGTACTATTAAAAATTTCACTTATTGTTGAGTTGCTTTATAGGGATAAAAAATAAGGCTTAAAAAAAGGGATCAGCCTTACTATTTTTATAATCTGATCAAGAGGCAGAGTGAATATTCCAAGTGAAGTGCTTATGCTGAGCTCTTCCATGGAGTGAAAGGCCAAATATCTAGGGAGATTGATGGGCCACTCAAAGATGTAAAAAGTAAGAGGTAAACCTTGGTAAAACTAAGTGCTTGGTGAAACAGTGCTTCTCATACATTTCCACCGAACATAGCTCAGTACCACTGTATTAGACTATCACAAGTAAGGAACACTGACTCATGTTCTTAGAAAAAGGATGTAAACTTTTCTTTAGATTAGAAGATCTTCAAATTTACTACCATAATCTCCTTTACAGAAATTTGAAATACAAACCAAGAATTACTCAGGTGTAATCATATACCAAAATGCACTCTACAGAGAAAATAATTAACATGTCACTGAATTTGGAGAACTGCAATGGAAAATGTATTAGCTGAGATAAACAGGTTATCAATACTGTAGTTAGCTCAGCTAGCTGACTAAAATTATTTGTACATTTTTTACTTAGAACCTTCTTCCTCATATAAAGAGTCTAAAATGTTTTCTGATTACATGTAAAGCCTGACATGGAAGTTGTGTTTACATAGGTTTTTAATTTTAGCTACATACTATCCCCCAAAATAATGCAATAATTGTCTCAATCTTACCTTCGGAATATATATGCCAAATAATAAGAATGCTGTCAGTATCAACAGAGATAATGTGATCTCCAAAGGGTTGTAACAGATGGATTTCTGCTTTATGACCCTTAAAGGTATGTACTACCTACAATGTTAAAGTTCAAAAGAATTTCATGTTATAACTCATTCAACATTTAATATTATTCATATTAACCAAAAACATGCTAATCCTAAAGATGCTTTTGTTAAGAAATGTGATCCAACTTCTGATTATCCAAGGTTAGATTAATCAGGCATTTTCACCTGCTCCCTCAGCCAGTCCAATAAGGAAGCATCAACTAGAAACACAGAAATGATCTCTCTAGAGCTCAGCCTCCCAACTGAGCTTAGGGAAGACACACACACAGCTGGGTAATTCACCCAATCCAACCAGCACAATTCCAAGCATCCTGAAAAATGGTTACTTTCTAGAAGGCTGACTCTACAAGCTCCCTCATCAGCTGACTTCTGGATGAGACAGGGAGGATGCAGCACTTCTGTTTTGACACATAGAGACGTTATCCTTATAGTAACTGCATTCCTCAGGAATTGCAGCCCCTTTTTCCGTGGTTTCAGTTCTCACTAGATTCCAGAAACGCTATTTCTCCTCCTTGTCCTTTTGGCCCTAGAAGTGGTAACAGCTTCCTACCATTAATCTCTAATGTTTTGCCACCCTTACTTTCTCTCTATATGTATTTTCCAGGGAAAGCTACCAACTGTGGTATTTTGTAAAAAAACAAACAACAACACCAACAACAAAAAATGGACATTTTTCCTGACTCTAAAAATCCAATCAAAGTCCCATTAAAGAACTCCGCAGGTAAACTGCCTTCCTTTGCCACAGGCATGATGGAGGACTCTGGGAACAAATGTCAGTCCAAGTCAGACTTTGACAAGTACACTGATATGAATGCTTGGCTATCTAGGAGGCCGTACTGCCACTTCCCCTTTCATTCTGGACCATCAGAGCCAGGTCATCTCTCAAGGCAGTTTTTCCAGAACAAACTTAGAAACCAAATGAAAGATTAAGAAAAGACTGTTCCTCACCAGTGTAGAAAACAGAGAATCTAGTTTTCTCTCTATAGAAAACAACCACTTGGTTCTTAGAAAAGGAGTCATGGGCTGAGTTGTTCATAATGAAAAAAATCAATCCGTATAAAGCAGTGGCAGAAATAAAATGAAAATATGACAGTCCAAAACCTCAGGGATGCAGCAAAGGTGCTATAAGAGAGAAGTATGTAGCAATCCAGGCCTTCCTAAAGAAGAAAGGTCTCAAATATACAACCTAACCATTCACCTAAAAGCATTGAAAAATAACAGCAAAGGAAGCCCAAAACAGCAGAAGAAGGGTAATGATTTTAGAGCAGGAATCAATGACGGCGAAGTCAAAAAAATAGTAGAAAAGATCAGTGAAACCAGGAGCTGGTTCTTTGAAAGATTTAAAATTGATAAACCCCTAGTAGGACTGATCAAAAAGAAAAAGGAAAGGACCCAAATAAATAAAATCACAAATGAAAGCAGAGAGATCACAACCAACACCACAAAAATACAAACAATAAAGAGAGTATTATGAGCAATTATATGCCAACAAATTGGGCAATCTGGAAGAAATGGAAAATTTCTAGAAACATATAAACTACCACAACTGAAACAGGAAGAAACAGAAAATTTGAACAGATCCATAACGAGTAAAGAAATTGAATCAGTAATAAAAAAATCTCCCACAAAACAAGAGTCCAGAGCTGGATGGCTATCTAGTAGAATTCTACCAAACATTTAAAGAAGAATTAAGTCTTTAAGCTGTTCCAAAAAATACAAATGGAAGGAAAACTTCCAAACTCATTCTACGAGGCCAGCATTACCTTGATTCCAAAACCAGACAAAGGCCCCACTAAAAAGGAGAATTATAGACCAATTTCCCTAATGAACATGGATGCAAAAATTCTCAAGATACTAGCAAATCAAATCCAACAATACATTAAAAGAATTATTCACCAGGATCAAGTGGGATTTATTCCTGGAATTCAGGGCTGGTTCAATACCCACAAATCAATCATTGTGATATATCACATTAATAAAAGGATAAGAACCACATGATCTTAATAGATGCAGAAAAAGCATTTGACAAAATACAGCATCCTTTCTTGATAAAAACCCTCAAGAAAGTACAGATAGAGGAAACATACCTCAAGATCATAAGGCCATATATGAAAGGCCCACAGCTAATATCATCCTCAAAGGGGGGAAACTGAGAGCTTTTCCCCTATGGACAGAAACACAACAGGGATGTCCACTCTCACCACTGTTATTCAATACAGTGTTAGAAGTCCTAGCCTCAGCAATCAGACAACAAAAGAAATCAAAGGCATCCAAATCAGCAAGAAGGATGTCAAAGTTTCACTCTTTGCAGACTACATGATTCAACCAAAAAACCACTACAACTGATATATGAATTCAGCAAAGTCACAGGATATAAAACCAATGTACAGAAATCTGTTGCATTTCTATACACCAATAATGAAGAAACAGAAAACAGAATCAAGGAATCAATCCTATTTACAAATGCACCAAAAACCTTAAGATACCTAGGAATAAATCTACCCAAGGAGGCAAAAGATCTGTACTCTGAAAACTAGAGAACAGTAAGAAATGGAAAAACATTCCATGGTCATGCATTGGAAGAATATTGTTAAAATGTCAATACTATCCAACTTAATCTACATATTCAATACAATACCTATCAAGATAAAACCAGTATTCTTCACAGAGCTAGAAAAAAACAGTCTAAAATTTGCATGGAACCAGAGAAGACCCCGAATAACCAAAGTAATGCTGAAAAAGAAAACCAAAGCAGGATGCATGACAATACTGGACTTAAAGATGTATTACAAAGCTATAATCATCAAGACAGCATGGTACTGGCACAAAAACAGATATATCAATCAATTTAACAGAATAGAGAACCCAGAAATGGACCCACAAATGTATGGCCAACTAATCTTTGACAAAGCAGGAAAGAATATCTAATAGAAAAAAGGCAGTCTCCTCAGTAAATGGTGTTGGGAAAACTAGACAGAGACATGCAGAAGAATGAACCTGGACTACTTTCTTACACCATAGACAAAATAAACTCAAAATGGATGAAAGAACTAAATGTAAGACAGGAAGCCATCAAAATCCTAGAGGAGAAAACAGGCAACAACCTCTTTGACCTCAGCCATAGTAACTTCTAACTTGATAGGTCTCTGGAGACAAAGGAAACAAAAGCAAAAATGCTACTGGGACCTCATTAAGATAAAAAGCTTCTGCACAGTGAAGTAAACAGTCAGCAAAACTAAAAGGCAATGGAAGGAATAGAAGATATTTACAAGTAACATATTGGATAAAGGGTTAGTATCCAAAATCTAGAAACAACTTACTAAACTCAACACCCAAAAAATAAATAATCCAGTGAAGAAATGAGCAAGAAACATGAATAGACACTTTTCCAATGAAAATATGGCTAACAGACACATGAAAAGATGCTCAACATCACTCATCATCAGGGAAATACAAATCAAAACCACAATGAGATGACACCTTCTATCTGTCAGAATGGTTAACATTAACAACTCAGGCAACAACAGATGCTGACATGGATGTGGAGAAAGAGGAACCCTTTTGCCCTGCTGGTAGGAATGCAAACTGGTGCAGCCACTCTGGAAACAGTATGGAGGTTCCTCAAAAAAATTAAAAATAGAACTACCCTATGACCCAGCAATTACACTACTAAGTATTTATCCAAAGTATACAAAAATTCTGATTTGAAGGGACACATGTACCCCAATGTTTATAGCAGCACTATCAATAATAGCTAAAGTATGTAAAGAGCCCAAAAGTCCACTGACTGAACAATAGATAAAGAAGATATGGTGTATATATACAATGGAAAATATTACTTGGCAATCAAAAAGAATGAAATCTTGCCATTTGCAATGACGTGGATGGAACTAGAGTGTATATTATGTTACGTGAAATAAGTCAGAGAAAGATAAAAAAATGATTCACTTATATGTGGAATTTAAGGCAAAGAACAGATGAACATTGGAGAAGGGAAGCAAAAATAAGATAAAAACAGAGAGGGAGACAAACCATAAGGAACCCTTAAATACAGAGAACAAACTGAGGGTTGCTGGCAGGTGGTGGTGAATGGTGACAGACATTAAGGAGGGCGCTTGCAGGGATGAGCACTGGGTGTTACATGTTAGTATGAATCTCTAAATTCTATTTCTGAAATCATTATTAGACTATATGTTCACTAACTTGGATTTAAAAAGAGAAAAAAAAAATCTCCTGGGAAAGAATTTTCAAAAGCATTTTCTGAGTCCTACCCCACCCAAAAATACAAAGTAGAAAGCTCAGGAGATGGAACCCAACTGGGTGGGAAAATTTTGAAGAAGCTGCTCAAATAATTCCAATGTTCAACCCTGATGAAGAAAACTGAAGTAACAGTTTTAACTAATTTTGAAAATTTGATAAAATCAACTTTCTCTTCCTCCAGAAAAACCCAATAAATGTTTAAAATAAAAGGAGTACACGTCCAGAGTGTCCCAGTTGAAGAACAACAACATTAAAGTTCCCTCTGCTTTCATGGCAATTAACTATTGACTGCAAAAACACATTTAAAATAGTTCAGGGATACAAACCTCTTTATTACGGGCAAATGCAGAGAAAACATTCCCATAAGCAGCAAAGACTAGCCTCCCATCAGCTGCCATACAGCAGATATCCTGTGGGACAGAGTTACCTAGGTAAAAGGAAATATAAAAGAAATAAGAAATTGTAAGATCTTGGCACAGAGAGAAATCTCAAGTATACATATACCATTTTTCATGGCTATAATTAAAAAATATGTATGTATGTGTAGATATATGAATAAAAGCTAATAATCAGTATAAATTTGACTTCAATGTTATTTTACATTTCTAATAACTACCAGACTGAGAATATTAAATCACCTTGATCTTCCCTAAGAGAAGTAATGTCTAATATTTACAGACATAAAAATATAATCCTAAAGAAATGAAAAGCTTTTTGAAGTTATTAGGAAAAAATTCACACTTCATATAAAAAACATGGCATATAGTCAATGTAAATGCCTTCAGGAACATCACATTTACTAATAATTCTAGCAAAATTTTTAAAGTAAATCAAGACCTAAACCCTATTTAACTCTATGCTTTGGAAAAACCTCAGAAAAATTCAATATGATACCCTACATCCTGAACCTTTAAATGAACAATACGGTATCTACTCAGTCTTCTCCAAGGCAAACATGCCTATATCTCTAGCCATTTCTCACACATTATGATTTCTTCACTCCTCTCTATCATGGTCACATTGGCCTTTTCTTTTTATTCCTTGTTTTAGGGGCAGGAGAGTTAGAATATAGCTGATTGCATTTTTCATGCTGCACATTCTACTGTAAGATTTCATTCCCAGGGCATCTGGGTGGCTCAGTCTGTTAAAATGTCTGACTCTTGGGGCGCCTGGGTGGCTTAGTCGGTTGAGTGTCTGACTTTCGCTTGGGTCATGATCTCGCGGTTCGTGGGTTCGAGCCCCGCATCGGGCTCTGTGCTGACTGCCAGCTCAGAGCCTGGAGCCTGTTTCAGTCTGTGACTCCCTCTCTCTCTGGCCCTCCCCTGCTCATGCTGTCTCTGTCTCTCTCTCCTAGAAATAAATAAAAAAAACATTAAAAAAAATGTTAAAAAAAAAAAAAAAAAGTCTGACTCTTGATCTTGGCCCAGATCGTGATCTCAGGGTTCGTGAGCTTAAGCCGCACATTGGGCTCTGAGCTGACAATGCAGAGCCTGCAGGGGATTCTCTCTCTCCCTCTCTCTCTACCCCTCCCAGTACATGTGTTCACTTGCTCTCTCTCAAAATAAATAAAACTTAAAAAAAAGATTTCATTACCTGAATACTATTTTCATAGGTTTATCATTCACTTTGTATTTGACTTAGGTTATAGTGTCCTTCTATAATCTTTTTAAAATTTTAAGTTAATCAGACACATACACTGGGTTCCTTGTAGCTCTCCTTTGTTTCTGTTACAAAGTTCACATTTCATGGTTATACTACAATCTCTCAGCTCTGGCAGGCCCTTTATTCTGTATAACAGTTTCCAAAAAACTAAATATTCCTTCCATTGGAAGGAATATCAAAACGTAGGAAAAGGGAAAGCTCTTCCTTACAGTGGAAGCAATGATGGAATCCAAAAATCACTATTTATTTATTTTTAATATTTTTAATTTAGTTTTGAGAGAGAGATAGAGACAGCATGAGCAGGGGAGGGTCATAGAAAGAGGGAGACACAGAATCCAAAGACAGGCTCTAGGCTCTGAGCTAGCTGTCAGCACAGAGCCCAACGCGGGGCTCGAACTCATGAACTGTGAGATCATGACCTGAGCTGAAGTCGGACGCTTAACCGACTGAGCCACCCAGGTGCCCCCGAAAATCATTATTTAGTAATCATCATTCTAATAACTAGTTAAGGCAAGAACCATCACTAAGTGATAAAAATGGTGGGTAAAACTTTCAAGAGTAACATGATATTTACATAGTCTCACTGTATGTAACCACAAGATACTTACTAATTACAAAGGGTAAAACTGTAAAATGGAGCCTCCTGACAAGTGTCACCTTAATAAAATGATAAAAGCCAGGAACAGAACTAACTACATGTGCCTGCTAATAAATCCACTGAGAATTCTACGTTATTTCTTTGTTATTCTTGCAATAGTGCATACCCTGAATCTAATCATGAAAAAACAGCAGAAAAGGTCAAATTGAAGGACATTTCTAAAAAAATAATTGGCCTACCCTCTTCAAAAATATCAATACTGTGAAACACAAAGTCTAATGAACTATTCTAAATTTAAAAAGACTAAAGAGACATGACAACTAAATGCAATGCCTGATCCTATCCTGAATTCTTATTTTTTAACTATGTAAGTTAATCAGAAATACACAATGAATTTCTTATATATTCTGTAAGTCTTAATGTCAAAAAGTTAATATTTTTAAAAGACACTAAACATGAATAAATTCAGGATAAAGTTTACTTACTTACTGCCACCAAACTAAGTTTCTGAACCTGTTTTAAAAAAGAAACAAAAATGATCAAATAGATTATAATTGCTTTTGTTAATGAAAATTTAATATTTGAAAACTAAGATATAATCTCATACATAAATTTGCTATGGTATCTTTCTTTGAAAGTATATTTACTGACTGTAATTTTTCATTATTAGGAAGGCTTATATTTTTGACTATTTCATCAGGAGTTGTGATGGAAGGGGAAAATAAATGTTTTCTATAAAGGGTCATATAGTAAATATTTTAGAGCTTTGCAGGCTATGGTGGTCTTTGCTAAAACTATGCAACTGCTAATAAAACTTGAAAGCGACCACATATAACATGTAAACAAATATGTACAGCTCTATTCCAATAAATTTTATTGATGTATGCAGAAATTTGATTTTCATGTAATTTTCATATGTCATGATATATTATTATTATTTTTATTTTTCCCCCAACCATTTAAAAATGTCAAAACCACCCATCTATGAAGCATAGAGTTCAGTGGGGTACTAGTGGAAATTCAAATCTCAGAGATGCTAGAATCCTAAGACTGAAAGGGCCACTGGGAGATCAAATTACATATTCTGTATTTCTTGAATGTAAACACACACAGGTCTCCATGTCATGCCAAAAATTAATTATATTGCATTCTACTGGTGTGCAAAGTTTACTTGGAAATCATTATAAAATAAATAAAAATGTCACAAGCCTGGCTTGCAGGCTGTAATTAGCTGATCCCAATCTATGGTTACTGATCCAACACTATGACCTTGACAAAATTAATCAATCTGTTTCTCAAATTCCTCTTCATCTGTAAAATAAGAATTAAAATAGTTACCGGGCACCTGAGTGGCTAGTTGGTTAAGCAACTCACTCATGATTTGAGCTCAGGTCATGATTTTCAACTTCCTCACTGTCAGTGCTGAGCCCACTTGGGATTCTCTCTCTCTGCCCCTCCCCTACTAGTATGCCGGTGCGCGCGTGCTTTCTCTCGCTTTCTCTCTCTCTCTCCCAAAATAAATAAACTTAAAAAATAAAATAAAAAAGGTACCTGCTTTAAATATTCAATTCTGTTGAAGGCTGTTACGATATTCAATATATACAATTTGTTGATGGAGCCAGTCATAATTAACTTTCAATAAATGTTAGCTGCCAATACCAGCACCATCTCCATTTTGGGTATGGCCCTCACTTTCCTCGTCCACTAACTCAACCGGCTACCAACAACCACCTCTTCTTGCTACTAACCCATTTGCTTTACATGAACCTTCAAAGCATACAACTTTACAGCTCAATTTCCAGGAAAAGTGCTTAATTAACACTGGCTACTATCATCCTGATCATAAAGAAAAGCTCCCTGCTTTCACAGAGCATACATTCATTTGGAAAGATGAAGGAAAACAGTAAACAGCAACAAAAGACTATGACTGATGAGAAATTAAAGGAGGAAACCACCACTAACAAGCAGGAAGGCCTAGGACAAATAATTTCTGAGACTGTTTCCTAGTTTTTTATATAAGGGTGCCGCGGGAAAACGGTAAACGATACATGTCTCGCAAAGTGCTGCAAGGCTTAGACTAAGAAGCACGGTATGAGACCCTCAAATGTTGGTAGAAAATAGATGCTCAGAGGAAGTTTAAGGAAACCAGTTTGCTATCAAATGTGAATAGTCCTCAAAATAATTAATCCCATCCCTTCCAAGTTCTTCCAATGTATTTTAGTCCGAATTTCTAATCCAGCGTGTCAGAAATTGCACAATAAAATGTCTTACAAGTTTTTCTCGTTAAGAGGGGGCAGAAACTGGTCTTTTTTTTTTTTAATTTTTAAAATGTGTTATTTATATCAGAGAGAGAGAGAGACAGTGTGAGCAGGGGAAGGTCAGAGAGGGAGCCACAGAATCCGAAACAGCCTCCAGGCTCTGAGCTAGCTGTCAGCACAGAGCCCGACACCGGGCTCGAACCCATGAACCGTGAAATCATAACCTGAGCCGAAGTCGGAGGCTTAACCGACTAAGCCACCCAGGGTAGAAACTGGTCTTAATCACGTTTACATCTTCAAGAGAACATGAACAGCTATTTACTGAACAAATATATTGCTATAAAACTGAAACGTTCTCTGGTACTTTTCCCCAGCTGGGAGCCTCCGAAACTCGCCCCCAGCGGAATGCAAGATCTACAACACGTGGATATGAAGCCGTGATGAAACAGGTCAGGTAAGAGTTAGGGAAGAGACGGCAGGAAGGGAAGCCCTTGATCAGTGGGGGAGGAGAGGACTACCCCTAGAGAGAACTGGGGGCCGAGGAGGGTGGCTCCCGGGAAGCGGCCAAAGGAATAAGTCACTCACGTCATAGGTGTGGAAGCTCTTGCCCACGCATGTCGTCACATAGAATCGGCGCTTCAGGGCACTGAACCGCACCACGTGTGGAATGTCGTTGCTAAAAAGCCCCAAAGCCCGGAACCCCGCAAACAGCGCGCTGCTGGTTCGACCTCCGGCCCCACCCTCCATCCGTACTGAGGTCCAGGCTCCTCTGAGCTTCAGTCCGGATGAAAAACTGCGGCCCGGCCCTTCACCGCCTCTCGTGGCACAGCTCTTTGCCCACTCTACATACTCACAAGAGCTTCCGGCTTCCTCTGCCAATCGGTTAGCGGACAATGCTCTTAGTGCAGTTGAAAAAGAACTCCCATCGGAGCTCGCAGGGGACGCGCAACTTTGGTTCCGCGGGTAGTTGTCTTCAGTGTTCCAAAGGTGGCTCCCCAGGTCTGGTGGGGTTGGAAGAGAACTGGAACAGGACCTTGGAGGACGGGGAGCGGCAAGGGAAGAGGAACCAATTACCCTGACAGTGAAGGGAGACCAGATGTAGTCTTGACAAGAGTCAAGTAAAACGGGCAGTTACAAAATTGTATAAAACCATGAGACTATGGAGAAAATCTGAACACTGGTTATTTGTTGATATTAAGAAATTATTTTTAATTTTTATATGTGATATTAGTATTGTGATTATACTTTTAAGGATTCTTTTGTAGATAGATATCGACATATTTACGGATGAAGTTATATATCTGGGGATTTGCTTTCAAAATAACTGGGGATGAGGTGCAGCATTTAGATGAAATAGAGCTGATAATTGTTTAATCTGGGGATTGGGTATTTGAGAATTCACGCTATTATCCCTATGCTTCCGTATAAAATTGAGATTTACAGTTATACAAAGATTTTTTTGTTTGCTTTTTACTAAGATTGTTTACAGTAAAAAAATTGTAATATTAATGTGTTATTTTAAATCTCTGACTGATGGAAATATGTAAAAATGATTTTAACTACAAGATAAGCATTTTTAAGAGTTTTGTAAATTGTATGTAATGCAGATGTTGCTTTTATAATAAAAAATAAAAACTAAGACGTCTGTATATATTGACAGTTTGGGAAGAAAATTTTTAAAAGTCTTCAGTCTTTACAGTTCACAAGCCCTTGACACCCATTATTTTAATATAATCCTCAAATTAACGCTGTTGATTTAGGGCAAATATTATATTACTGTTTTATAAATGAGGAAACTGGTTCATTGGGGTTAAGTGGTTTGTACAAAGTTCTGGGATTATTTAGCATCCAAATCCAGACTAGCACTAGGTTTAGAAAAGGATGAAAAGAAGTGGGGGGGGGGGGGACGGGGGAGATGTCACTGAAGGACAGCTGGATGATAGGAGAAATATGTATCCAGCAGTCACACTTTCAAGACCAAGCCTTCAATCACAGGATGGGTATGGATTCACATTAGATAAGGAACCCAAAATTCCCAGAGATCACCTAATTTATTAAGGGTCACTTAATTAATATTAGTGAGCAATTTGAATTTAGGTCTGACAATCAGATTTATGTTCTTTAACCTCCATCTGGAAAGTGAGGCAAAACTTTAAAAATGAGAGCTATTATGGAAAATCTAGTAGTATAGTAGCAATAGATACACATGGCAGCTGTTGTGCTGTGATCTTTTAAAGGGGGGATTTTAGGAGCTGATTGTGAGTTTTCCAGTTTAACCATTGGCCAACGTGTCTTTTTCCCCATGAGTTGCCTCCCTAAGTTGCTTCTTCCTATTCAGCTGCCAGCAAAGTGTGTGAATGTGTGGTGGGAGAAGAGGAACTAGCTATTACTCTTTTTGCTTAGCTGTGTCCCCAGGGAAACTAGTCACAAAGAATAAAAGAAAATGTAAATGTAGTAGAGCATTGACAGATGATCATTTTCAATTTGATTCAACATACTGGGGCTTCACAAGATTCAGATAAATTAAACATACAGCTATGTCATGTTGTTGTTTCTAACTTAAAAAAAAAAAAGATTAAATGTATCTGTTTCTGTGTAGTTTCTATAATAAAAACCATTTCTTTTTGTCAGTGACTTCCTGTGTTGTGATCACCAGCCTCCAAGATGGCCCTCAAGGATTTTTACCTCCTGATATTCATGCCCTTGTGTAGTTTCCTCTTGTACTGAATAGGGTTGACTTGTATAACCAGGCTAGGCCATAAAAGATGTTGAAGATTTGGACTTGCTCCTTTTTAGGTCACTTGCTCTGTAGGAAGTCAACTGCCATGTTGGAAGGATACTCAAGCAGTCCTATAGAGCGTTTCACATAGCAAGGAATTGAGAGCCTCCTGCCAACCATCAGCACTACCTTACTAGGTATAAGAGTAGAAGCACCTTTAAACCAGATTCTTCAGTCCCAGCCAAGCCTTCAGCCTTCAGATGACAGCAGCTGTGATGACATCTTGACTGCAATGTCATGATATAGGAGAGGTATATCCAAATATTTCAAAAATAAGAAACTGATTTTCCTAAGAAAACTCTTGTTTTGCCCCTATATATATCCCTCACTCTCCTAATACTCTATATCTGTATTGGTTAGAAATATTTGGGTCAGAAACACAGAAAAACAAGCAAACTTTAAAACAAAATTATTCTGCCTTGTCTATGGTGTGGGGGTAGGAGCTGAGAATACATATAGAACTAAAGGAAAAGCTAGAGAACCAGGCTTTAGAAAGGACAGGAACCGGACCTGCTCCTAGTAACTTCTTTTTTTACCCTCCTTTCCTTTGCCACCTTGAGTCTGCTCCTTTTGGGTCAGGAAAAGGAAAATGTTAAGAAAACATTATATTTCAAAGGTACTCTTTTAGTAGTCTTTTGACTGTCAAATGCCCTCTGTCTCATACATCTTGGCCAACTCTTGGTCTTTCTCAAGATCCTAGTCATTGCAGAGTCTATTCTAACCAGTCCTTTTCCTTAGAGTTCTCCCAGTGAGAGGTAAACCTTATTTTTACGCGCCCTCATAAAAATGACTATGATTCATCTTCAAAGACACACTTAAGGATCTTCCAAGTGCCATCTTGCATTTCATTTAGGTGGGCTTGGTTTGAGCCTACAAAATTCTGCAACTCTGTAGACTGGGAGTAAATCATCAATCTGACTTGCTTATACATAATCCTAATCTCTATCATTTGGAGGGGGGCATCCAAATCTTGTATTTAGTACAAGAGGAAACTACATGAGGGCATGAATACCAGGAGGTAAGAATTGCAGATACTGGACAACTCAGTTTCCCTCTTCTTGGTGAGAGAAACCAGAGCTCTCTCTACATCTACAAATTCTCTTCAAAGAATCCTCTAATTACTATCTGACATTCTATTACTTTAGTTGTGATCTGGTTGCAGTCATGAGATCAGTTTGTCCCTCTCTTAAGCAGGTCCTAAATGAATGACTTGCAAGGTTTCTTTAGACACAAGGAGGCAAACAACCTCCTGTTCTCAGCTTTGAGACTTTAGAAGAAGTTTCATTCTGTAGCAGATTGAATTTCCAAAAATAATCACAACAATATTGCCTATTCCTTATGCTCTTTTTTTAAAGTTTTTTTTTAATGTTTTATTTATTTTTGAGAGAGAGAGACAACATGAACAGGGGAGGGTCAGAGAGAGAGGGAGACACAGAATCCGAAGACAGGCTCCAGGCTCTGAGCTGTCAGCACAGAGCCCGACACGGGGCTCAAACCCACAAACTGTGAGATCATGACCTAAGCCGAAGCCAGACGCTTAACCAGCTGAGCCACCCAGGTGCCCCTCCTTAAGCTCTTTTTAAAGTTTATTTATTTTGAGACAGCCCAAGTGGAGGAGGGACAGAGAGAGAGAGAGAGAGAGAGAGAGAGGCCCAAACCCACAAACCATGAGATCATGGGCTGAGCCAAAATCGGCCACTTAACTGACTGAGCCACCCATGCACCCCTTCCTCATGCTCTTAATACAATGTAATCTTGACACTATTATTATCGAGTCTTGGGACTTTATCTCCTCCCCTCAGCCTGGGTGGATCTTTTTGACTGCTTCAAATAATAAAGTATGGTGAGCATGTGACTTTGATGACTAGATCAGAAAAATCCTGTGCATTCTCATCTTGCTGTCTTGGAATTCCCACTTTTGGAGATAGCCTTGATGCAAAGAGAAAGCCCAAACTAGTTCATATAGAGAGACAACCATGTGGAGAGGCCGTGTATAGGTATTACAACCTGTAACCTGGCTGTGGTCTCAGCTCACAGGCAGCATTAACCACCAAGCATGAGACTATACAGATGCCTCCAGAATATTTCAGCCCACAGGTATTAAGTCACTCTCAGATTTCAGTTCTCTCAACTAACACTCCATCTATGCTGTACTCTTTCCAGATTTCTGAAGCACAGAATCAATAACATAACACAATATTTGTTTTGGAGTGGCTTGTAATGCATCAACAGTAACCTGAACACATTAAATATCTTGTAACAATAGTTATGCCATTGCTTAACCTCTTTTCTCTGCACAGCATCCCATACCTTCCTTCTGGATAACAGCTCCCTTTTACTCTAAACCCAGTTCTACTTCTACCTCCTGCACAAAAGTCTTCTAGGACTTTTTCAGCTCATAAGGAGCTCTCCTTTCTCTGAGCTCTTGAGTATCACTTCACTTAGTGCTTATTTTCTGTGACAGATATACTTTCTTTTTATTCTTAATTAACAGAATCTCCATTATGTTCACATAGCAGGTGGTGTAATAGTTCAGTAGAGGCTAACCCCCTCCCCAGCTCCAGTGAGTGAACATTAATTAATCTAAACTAATTGTGGCAATTAATATTTTTCATTCCAGAAACTGGCTTAGGGAAAGACTAATTCTGGCCAATGAGATTTTAGAGGCTGTCTTTTGAGAGGCTTCTAGGAAAAGTCTGTTAGGGTTTTGTTTTGTTTTGTTTTGTTTCAACAGTTGAATGCAGCTATTCTTTTTTTTTTAATTTTTTTTTAATGTTTTATTTATTTCTAGGAGAGAGAGAGAGAGAGAGAGACAGCATGAGCAGGGGAGGGTCAGAGAGAGAGGGAGTCACAGACTGAAACAGGCTCCAGGCTCTGAGCTGGCAGTCAGCACAGAGCCCGACGCGGGGCTGGAACCCACGAACCGCGAGATCATGACCTAAGCGAAAGTCGGACGATTAACCGACTAAGCCACCCAGGCACCCCAGAATGCAGCTATTCTAAAAATAATATGTAGAAACAAAATGTCAAGTTAAGAAGAATAAGAAAAGAAAACCTTTTCCAGGATTCCTACAGCAGACTTCCTTCAAGTTTTATTGACCAAGGCTTCATTGTATATTTAGGTTTAAGTGGCGAGAGAGATTGGGAAAACAACTTTTCAGCATTTTCAACATCTCGAGAGGAAGGCGGTCTCCACCACTAGCCACAGCAAAAGCCTTCAAGTATGAATAAGATTTTCTCCCTTGGTATTCTGGGATATCCCCAACTGGAGAGCCTAAAAAATATTCAACTTAGGGATGCCATCCATAATAGGTAAAAATGGAAGTAGGGCTCTTTATTTTGTTTTT